AAGATCATCCAACTCTTCATTTATCTTTCCCCATTGTTATTCTTGACTAGTACTTTAATTTCTCCTTCTTCCATATCTGAAAAGTCCTTCATCGCCTAATGCTCTTGTAATATGTACGATATCCTTGGCTTCGTTTTCAATGGATAGAAATCCTTTTAAATTGGCAACTTCGTCCAGCGCTGATGACGGCAAGCATTCATTATTGATGAATCCATTTGTTTCCATGCGAGTTTACTCATTTTTATGCAGTGTCTTACGTTGAATTGATTCTAAAATGCCATTAATGCGCTCTCCTTCGTCTAGCGCCTTATTTGAAGAGATATAAAAATGCCTGACATAATATGCTTTATACGAATTTTTGATCCACTGATTAGATTAAGGAAGTGGTGTTCGATGGAACCAATAAAACCTCTACATTTGGATTTAATGCTAAAACGCGGGCTTCAATATCGTATCCTATGAACGGTTATTGAGAATTAGGGGAATCTCAAAGTTCAGGTTTTTGTTTTTTATGTAATATTTGACTTATTTAATAGATGAATTTTCAGACCAGAGATTTAAAGAGGGCATAGCAACGCAGCAGGCGTTTTCCACCGTACCGCATTTAATTGAAATTGTCGTGTTGGAGAAATGAAATGGAAACAAAGAAAGACACGTATACGGCAAAATCGTGGTCCGCAAGTCCGCGTATGGAAATGTTTTACTGTATAAATTTTATGTTACAACGGAATCTGATCACTGTTCGTGAACCTAATAGCAAGCTAAATGTAGCATAAGATATATCTGAGATTAAATCCCTGCTTTGATTTGTGTCGCAAAGGTGATTGTCGTGATTTGCGTGCGAATTTGCACAATTTCTTAATTTTTTCATTCGTTGCGTGGTGGTCAGTAGAGACTGGGCTTCAAATAAATGCCGAAGCAGTATCATCTTAGCAATTTTCAAATAATGACTCTTTGTTCAGTAATAACGAAAATGAAAATTGAATTGAATCTTTTTTCGGTTTATGATCTCAAATGAACCAGCAGAACGAAACATGTTTTCAAAACATATTAATCTACTTTTATGATCTACTCTTACTTTCCCCTGATGAGTTTTGAACTGAAGTTTGAGTAAAAGAAGATTAATTTTTATTTTTATAATTTTGTATATTTTCCCTTTCGCATTTATATTTTCGAGTTTGTTGTTCTATGAATACTTATTTTAACTTTGATTTTTTTAGATATTGTGTTAAACCTCTTATACACAGTTGAAATTATTAATATTGTTGAGGAATAGCCTTGCTTTGATTCCAATTTAATATTAACTTTAGATTCTTTAAGTTTATTTAACATTAAAAGTAAATATATACTTTTAAATAAGCGAAGTTTTATTTCTTACTAATTTATTAATTTTAGTTTTAAGGTCATAAAGCATTCCTGTCATAGATCGAAAGCTGTTGGAAATGCTGTCTGCGTCCTGCGATGAGGCAGTTAAATTGGTATAAACTGGACTACTAACTAGTGAAGAATTTAAACAGTTAGTATAATTAAAGCGGGTGTTTCCTTAGTGCTACAAAATTAACTCTCTTCAGCAATGAAGGACATAGGTTGGCTACAATTGTATTTGGAGGAAGGGGTAGCGATTTGGTTGACCTAAACAAATTAAACTTGCACAAAGCAAACTTATACGCCTGGTGGTTTAGTTGGTTACTATATGCTTGAGATTTTGTATTTTTATTTTTTTGTAATGTGATTACTTGATAATGTATTTTGCAAAGGCATTCCTTCCCACAAGGAAATAGTTCTTGTAGATTTTTCTATAATTAAATAACACATTCCAAAGCAACGATGAAAAAGGTTTCATGTAGACAAATGAGCCTGAAAAACTTATTCAAGACGCTAAATACAAAACCCAAATATACGAAGCACATACAGAATTTAATTGAACTCCAGCAGTGAAAGATGAGTTATCGACTAAAGAAATTCCGTGGACTCTCTTCGATGAAAAATGGATGAGTTCAAAGAATATGTTAAGACTGAATTTTAAAATATTGCATTTCAAAACAATCAGTCCTTGCTTACTAATAAAAGGCTATAAATGTAGATTTCTAAAAAGTGCCATCAAAGCTGCTGAACTTCAAGATATGGTTAATTTGCATCAGCTTAACAAACATTCTTTATATTCACTGAAGAAATATGTAACTAAGCAGTTTCAAATTAGTAAACGAAAAGACCAAATTCCAAAAACTATTTCCATGCTGCAAACGTATCTAAGCAACAGTCTGCTCCCCATACCAATGACATTTCCTCCAACTATTTCATTTTCAGATGTCATATGAGTATTACTTCGAAAAAATATTAAGTAACGGCAAGAATGCTGCTATTCTGAAGAACACTCAGAGAAAATCGAACTATGAATTTTCTTAGTAGAGTTCAAGACATAGACAGTTAGAGCATCTTTGGGGTAATTTATTATAATTCTCATTTCTTACATATCTTTCTCGAAAATATTTATTATAAACTTATCTAACAACATTGCTAAAACCAATACCTTATAAAATCTTGAAGGTTTAAGTTTCTTATTTTGAAAATTAAATAATTTGGTTGGTAAGTAATGGTTAGATTCCTCATATTCCTATTTGTGATGCTGAAACAGAAAGCAGTGAAGTAAGCAAAGAATTTAAACGTTAATATAGACTTTATATTTCAGTACTAAAAACTTAACCTTAAGTGCCTTGAACTTCTTTATACGTTGTTCAGATTTTCAAATGTCAGGGTTTCCAATATGGACAGTTTATGAGTTAGAAATTGGTGAATAAATAAAATTCACAATTACAAAAATTCTTTGATTACGCCTTTTAAGAGAAAATATCTTACAGAGACGATTTCCCGGAAAAATTACGGGAAGCTTTTTAGAAATGAAAAATCTGGCTACATTTATCAAGAGAAGAAACTTTCCTTCAGAAAAAATTAAGGTCGAATGTATAATAGAAGATTCTGAAAAACTCTAAACCGATGTTTATAGCCTTTTAATGATTAAATGCTGCAGGTGTATCTAATATTATCTACTGATCAATTATTGCTAATAATACTTCGTATTCACAAGCAATTATTCAAGCGTTGCTTATTGAATTCTCATAGCTTTCTCTAATTATGTGAATTTCTGTAGTGTATTACAACTTAAAGCTGAAGTATTAAGCATACTAAAATGAAATAACTTTCTTTCTTATCTCTTAAACATATGTATATGAAATGATTCTTTAATAAATTATGATAATATTGTGAATAAATTAGAAATAAATCTTCTTAAAGGAAAAATTGGAAAGTACCCCTAACAGGTTGCTAATAAAACATAAACAAACCCTTGAAGTATGCAGAAACATCATTTTTAAAAGCTTTGTAATACACATGCATTTAGATTTCGAACTATTTCTTAATAATTTTCTGTACATAATAAATTATGGATATCATCATTATTACTTTAAAACAAAAATTTAACAATAGTGAGGCATTTCATTATAAATTTAACATATTTTTACTAGAAAATACACGAAAGGAACAGCTTAGAAACACGTGCTTTTCACTACCGTAATGTAATGTTTTGACTTTATAAACATAGACGCCGCTTGTTAGATAGAGTTTCATTCCCCAATAGTGGAGGAAACTGCGAAACCTCCCTCCGTCTATTCTAGCTTCCTTGCTGCACACAAGCGTGTGGCCCCAGCCACCACTCCAACTTCTTATTGGACATGACTTGTGGTATCATGTAGTGACGAAAAGAATTCTCCGCGGCATTTTTGCGCACCAAAAGCTTGAGCCCGACGACATTTCAGCGCGAAAACGGGCGATGCGATGGGCAACGATAGAATAATATTTGACATATGTTTTGATGTCGCTAGTTAGACTGTATACTAAAGACAACTTTACAACAACAACAACAGTTTTATTTCGTGGAATGTATCATAACTAAAAATCTAAATCGAAAATGATAAATTCCCGACCATACGGGATCAAAAACATGTATGCTACGCTACGAGTTCGAATCTTAACTAACTAAAATTGCGCAGAAACAATGCGCTGTACATAACTTATATTGCCACGTAGGAGGCAACATACCGCCCCACGTTGCAATATCTATGATATGCAAACTAAATCTAAGTATACAATTCAAATATCAAATGCTAACAATTCAGCTATTCATTTTTTTTAAGCTTTAACAAAAGACTTAAAGTTAGTAAATCATTTACAGAATGAAATAAACAATTCAGAAAATTCCATAAAGTTTGAACATTTGCAAATTTTTTCAATAATTATGGTAAGTATATCAACATTTCAAACAGTAAAAAATATTGACAATTTTTATCAAAATTACCAAAATATAAGTATGATAAAGAACAATGTATATTTTATTAACATTTTGAACTTAATCCTTGAAGTTATCCTCAATAGGCAATAAACAAATTTTTGATATTGGCCTTTTAATTGGACCGAACTTTGTGTTAATGACTACTACTCGTATCTTACCATCTTTACCAGGAATTTAAATGGAGGTAACTGATCATCTTTAATAATAACCATTGTATATTTCTTTATATTGTCCTTTGAAAAATACCATTTCTTTCGTTGTTGCAAGTGATTAAGATAGTCAGTTATCCATCGTTTCCATATAATTTGTATCATTTTAGTTAGTTTTTGCCATCTTGACAATCTTCTTTCTGATAAGTCCAAAATTTGAGGTTCTACAATTGAGTTTATGGGTCTACCTATTAAAAAGTGACCTGGCGTCAAGGGTTCGTAATCTGAAGGTTCAGACGATAAAGGAGAAAGAGGTCTCGAATTTAGTATTCCTTCAATTTGATCAATTACGGTTAAAAATTCTTCATATGTTAGTTTTGCATCGGAAATAGTTCTTTTAAGATGAAATTTGAAAGATTTGATTCCGGCCTCCCAAATTCCACCAAAATTGGGGGCACGAGGAGGAATAAATTTCCAAGAGATATTTTCAGATGCCAAATACTTACCCCAAACTTCATCAGGGACAGTAACTAATGAAGAAAGTTTCTTTAACTCTTTGTGAGCTTCCTACAAAATTAGTTGCATTGTCACTAAACAGACATGAGCTTTTACCTCTACGCGAGGAAAAAAAAAAAAAATCGTTTTAAACATGCAATAAAAGGCTTCAGATGTTAAGTCAAATACTATTTCTAAATGAATCGCTTTTGTAACTAAGCAAACAAAGATTGCCATATAAACTTTATGTAAACTACCTTTCCTTTGATTTCTATATTTGATTAGAAAAGGGACCTGCAAAAATCTGTCCCTTTGTGTTATGAAAAGTTAGATTTGGATTTACACGTTCAGGAGGTAAATCGGCCATTAATTGATCTGAAATGATAGGCCATTTTATGATTTACGAAAACAAATTAAGCATTCGTGAACTGTTTTTCTAGCTAACGTCCTTGCCACCAATGGGCCAAAACCTTTCCCTAACAAAATGTAACAATGCTTGAGGACCAGCATGAAAATTTTTCAAATGATAATGAATAAATATTAGCTTAGTAAGCTTATGATTTTTTGGCAATAAAATTTGATGTTTAGAATCATAATTAATTGTGGCATGAGAGTTAAGCGACCGCCCACACGTAATATATCTTTTCCATCTAAAAATGGATTTAAAATTAAAGTTTTTACCTGACTTTTGATTACTCTCTGATCTTGAAGTGATTTAATCTCCTCTGCAATTCTATTACCTGAACCATTTTTATCAAGTGCATTTCCGCATCTTGAATATTCCGTGTACTACTAATGGGGCCTGTTTTCTTCACTGGACATTTCAGATTGGACAGAAACCTGAAAATAAGACTTAAGATTCTAATTAGTTTAACATAATTATTTGTTAATTGAAAAAAGGTATTCTAAAACAAGTTTAAACTGCAGTTCAAATTAACGTCTAAAGGTTTATAAGTTCATCCTGTTAAGCAGGAGAATCTATGAGAGTCTTATCAAGTTCAAATAAAGAAGCATCACTAAGTTCTCTCTGTTCAGGACCATTCCACCACAAAGAAGATGCCACAAGTTCATGAGGATAAGCACCACGAGAAATCAGATCTGCCGGATTATTTGCTGATGATACGTGCTTCCAGTGTCGTAGCTCTACTAGTCTTTGGATTTTGGAAGACTCTATTTGCGACAAAGGTCTTCAAAAGATGAGGAGAAGTCTTCAACCATGACAGTGCTATCGTTGAATCAGTGCACTAAATGATGTCATCTAAATGCATCTTCAATGAGTTGCTAACTTTCAAAATCAGATGAGCCAATAACAAACATGCACAAAGTTCCAATCTTGGAATAGATAAGGTTTTCAATGGAGCCACACGAGATTTGCTGGCTAGTAGATGAGATGACGAGCCGTGATCTTCATCGACACAAATTTAAGTAGACAACGGCACCATAAGCGGCTTCCGAAGCATCTGCATATCCAATGAGTGAAATCTTGCTTGGATGATTAGAGAGGATGCAACGATTAATTTTTATGTTTTCCACAGTCTTTAAATTTGAAACTACCTGTTGCCATTCGTGAGCAATAGTTGTGAAAAGTGGTTCATCCCAACTCAGTTTTTGAACCCATAATTTCTGTAAAAATATCTTGGCTTTGGTGATTACCGGACCAATCAGTCCTAAAGGATCATAAAGTCTGGCTATTGTCGATAAAATGTCTCTTTTGGTATGATGATTATTTCTCCTTGATTGAGACTTTAAAGCTGAATTCATCCTTCTGAGAATTCCATGTAATACCTAAAGCTTTAACCAACATTATCACTTTTGGAGGAGAATGAAAGCTCAGAGCTTGTAGAAGGGCTATCCAACAGTTCAGGAGAATTAGAGTTCCATTTGTGCAAAGTCATTCTTCAACTATGAAAAAGCTGTATAAGCTGATTTTTCAATTACCTGTGCTGTTTTCAAGTTTGATGAACCAGAGATGACATCATCAACATAACAATTTTACAAGACAGCTTTGGCAGCTTCAGGATATTTATGCATTTCGTCATATGCAACTTGCTTTATGCATCTAATGGCTAAAAATGAAGCACTTTTAGTACCATAAGTCACCGTTTTGAGTCTATATGTCACAGGTGAGTCGCTAAGGTTGCTTCTCTTCCATAAGATTCGAAGTAAGTCTCTTTTGGATTCATCAACTAAAATTTGCCGGTACATTTTTTGTATATCCGCAATAACTGCAACTTGATGTTTTCTAAATCTCACAAGAATATCAAAAGTATCTTCTTGGACTGCTCCCGCTAAAAGTACATCATTCAAACTTAATCCATTTGAGCTTGGGCACTAGCATTAAAGCACAACTCTTAATTTTGACTTGTACTTGACTTCTCTGGTATATATACTCCATGATGGGGAAGGTAATATTCAAGTTCCGGTTTTGAATTATCATCGACCCTTTCCATATGGTCCAAATTTTCATACTCTGTTATGAAATCTTGATATAAATGTTGCAATGTAGCGTTTTTGCTAAGACGTTTAACTAATTGATTGAGTCTAATGTTGGCTAAGTGCTTTGAATTTCCTAATTGTTCCTCTTTCATAGGCATTTTTACGATAAATCTGCCATCTTCATTTCCTCTGTAAGTGACTTTGAAATGTTGTTCGCAGAATTCTTCTTCTTGGCTAAGAATTGGCATTTCTTCACCAATATTTTCCACTAACCAAAATTTTTCTACCAATCTATCAATATTATCAACATAAAATACCGAGAAGTCCAACAATAATTCTGACAATTTTCAAAGGATGTTTTCAAAGAACCAGTAGCTATATAACCAAACACAGAATTTCTGAAAACGAGTGATTTCGTAGAAGATTTAAATTGGTCCATTAATAAAAATAAAAATGTCATAAAATATTTCTGCTCCTAAAAGCAGATCTATACTAGATGGAGTTTGCAAATTCTGGATCAGCCAAACTTGATGTATAAAAGGAATATCAATATTTTCAATATTTAATTTTGTAGAAGGTACTAAATCTGCTGCGATTTTATTTACAACTAAAAAATTTAATGAAGCAGAGAAAGAATTACTTCCATTAAAAATAGAAGCAAAAGTACGAGATTTAATGTTTGAAATTTGCCCATTTAAACTAGAAACGGGAATATTTATTCTTTCCTTTTTTAAATTTGAACTCCTTTTTTTAAAATTTGCACGCTCACAGAATTCATTTCTAACAAAATTTGACATCGATACTGAGTCAAAAATTGCCCTTGCTTTAACGAATTGGCCATAAATATTTCTAACCCAAACAATCGCAGTTGAAAGGAGAAAAGTTTTATTTTTCGAAAAAAGACACGCCGATAAGGCTTTTTCTGTTGATTGCTATTCAAAACAGCCTCATTTTTTGCGTTCTCTGGGGAGGGGGTAGTTTCACTTTGCTTTCCCCCACTTGTTGCAGACGACATGGAAGCTTCATTCCGATGAAGAAGTGAATTATGTTTTAATTTGCAAAAGTGTCTAGACTGACAGGAAGCTACTTTATGATTCGAATGTAAACAATTAATGCACAAAGAAAGCTTTTTAACCATCTCGTATCATTCCATTGGATTTAATGCTAGAAATGTTTCACATTTAAAAATTGCGTGATTATCTTTGAAAACCGGACACATAAATTTATTATTATTCGTTTTTGTCACTAACGATCGAACCTTATTTGGAGGAAAGTTTTGTTTTGTTTTTGCAAATACAGTTTTGTTTTGCATATTTTCTAACATCTGGCATCGCTTTTGAAGAGATGTCATGAAGAATCCCATTCACATAAATCATTACTATTTAATGACATTTCAAATTGCTTACGTGATTCTTTATCTATTTTATTGAGATAATATTAATCAGCAAAGCATCGCTTAATTTATCCATATTTAATTCCATAACTTTAATAATGCTCTTAAATGTTTCTGAACTTTATCAATTAATGAGCGTAAATCTTTAGGATTTTCATGAACTATTTTTTCAATAGAAATAATTCATTGATATGAGAATTTACAACCAGTCTCTTATTATCATATCTTTCTTCAAGTGCCTTAATAAGGAAGAAAATGTATCATCTATTGTTTGTATCTGCTTTGCATACCAATTAAACAAGATTGTAAATAAAACAATTTCTGAGAATATGTTCATTGTCTATTAGATGAAATTAAAGCTACAAATTGGTTTTTTAAATAAATTCCAGTCTTCGAAATTTCCAGAAAATTAGGTAATGTTATTTCGGGCAATTTTAATTTTAATTCAATGAATTACTTCTTGTTTCTGGGATACTATTATTTATTACTCGTTATTTGCATTTTTACTACATAATGAAGTATAAAGACATTTCAGGCTTACCTGAACATTGTTAAATCCTCTCGATCTCGATTTCTTCAAAAGTAGATTCGATGTCTGGTATTTCTTCATCTTTACACACTTTGTAATAATCCAAGCGAAGTTCATCAATTTGTTTATTTAACTTGTGCACTTCTTCTTGCAATACTTCTATTTGTTCGAAACCAAAATCATCACTTTTTCCAACAGACGAGTTTAATTTCGTTATTTGTGTTCTAATTCCACCACGTTTTCTGTTCAACGTAGTTATGTTTTCATTAGCCATTTTTTATTCTAATTAGCTGGGGCTCGACGTTGACCAATGTTTTGAGGTCACTGGTTAGACTGTATACTAAAGACAACTTTACAACAACAACAACAATTTTATTTCGTGAACTGTATCATAACTAAAAATCTAAATCGAAAATGATAAATTCCCGACCATACGGGATCAAAAACGTGTATGCTACGCTATGAGTTCGAATCTTAACTAACTAAAATTGCGCAGAAACAATGCGCTGTACATAACTTTTAAGTTACGCAGAAACAATGCGCTGTACATAACTTATATTGCCGCGTAGGAGGCAACAACATATTTTCGAAAAAATTACAAAAATAAAAAGAAGCTTCAGAAACATATTGTTAATATAGTACAGGGTATTAGAAAAAAAGGTACAATTCGATGTGCAGTCTATAATTGTTTAGCAGTATTTTTTTGTCATTAGATGAATATCGAAGTCATTTGGCAATAAACCCTTTTTATAATTTATAAAAGTTAAGAAACAAAACAATAATGCATAAAACAAAGCTTGATAGCTCCAATTGGCAAAGTCAAATAAACGATGTTATAAGTGCTTTAAAAATATCTTATCACTTTGTCTAATTTTTAACCATAAATGAAGAGCAATTAATGCCTAGAATAAAAAAGTAAAAAATTAATCTGACTACAAACAATTTTTATTTCAAACAATCTCTTTATAACAAACAATTAATAAATGAAAGGAAGGTTATTTAGTCAACAAACGGTTCATTTTTATTAAGAAATAACTAGTTTTTACATTTATATCGCTTTTAAAAACACTTTTTTTGTAAAATAAACCGCTAGTTCATGAAAACTGGGGCAGAAAATATTATTCTACACAGTAAGAGTTAAGTGCTATTTGTTGATGTTCCTGTAGAAGCAACTCTTTTAATGTCTCTTGCTATATGAAATTATATAATGTATTTCCTAAATATCAGTATAGCGCTACGAGTTGCACTGAATACAGATGCTAAGCCAAACAGTATTTACGCATTATAAAGTTTTATCGATTTAACAATTTAAATGAAAAGTGGGACATATTTTCTTACACTATTATGTTTGTTTTAACTGCAAATATTCTGTTACATTGCACAAATTCACATTAACACAGGGCATAACCAAGGCCAAAGTAATATAAGTTCCCCTTAACATAACTCAACCGAAACAGATAGTGGAATCTTTACAGCCTGACGTCATAAACGGAAACCAATAATAACAGGGGTGGTGGCTGGGGCCAGGCGCTCGTCTTGCTGCACACAAATTTGAAGTGCTATCTATTGTTGTTGTCGTATCCATATTACATGGAACAATGGTTGCCAGAGCCTACTCCGAAAAGAGGCTGGACGTCTATTTTCCACCCCCAATTTGAGGGAGAGCATCCCGGGGGGATTCGGAGGTCTCCCACACCTCTCCCCTTCTACCAATCCACACGAGAGGACTTTCGGTACGCCGCATATTTAGAGTGCCGTCATGCCGCACCGATACTATACATTTACAAGCATTCATGTTCCATGTCTTCTCCGGAATTCGAACCCGTGCCCTTCGGTACCGTAGTAGGCTTCCCTAACCACTATACCGTGTGGGCGACGGGGTGCTAACTACCGGTCATTACCATAGACAATATTAATTTCGGGAAATTATAGAAGCGATGAAGACAAAAACGGAAATGCTGTTTAAAAATAAAAATATATTTTTATATTATCAGGAATGAAAATATTTCTTATAATAAAAACTAATATTTAATCTTTAGCTTTCCACGTTCCAGGGTTTAATCAAGGCCAACTAGATATCTCCAGTTGGTTTTGATTAAACTATTGATATATCTAGTTGGCCTTGGTCAAAGAATTGGCCTTGGTTTAATACTCAAGAAAAAGGAAAATATATGAAAACTAAAAGAACTGTGACTATTACTGCCATAAAAACATGGCGGCTGCCTGTGTTCCCGGTGTTGGTGTAAACAATGACAATAATATTTGTTAAATCAATGCATTTTGCTTGTTTTATAACAACTGCACCAGGATGAAACAATGGAATAAAATAATTTCTGTGTATATGTTTATTTCTTTATGTCTACTATGTTCACTGTATGATGTATATGTAAGGATTCCCTTAATTTTTTCTTATTCCAATTTCTGCATGTAGATATTTTGATTTGCATATATATTACTGAAGCAACTATTTATAATAATATTAAAATTAATTTATTCAGACTTATCCCGAAGATGAAATCCCAGATTTTTTTCAAACCGGCCACACAAACAACTGGGCTGTTCTTGTGTGTACTTCCAGATTCTGGTTTAATTACCGCCATGTCTCAAACGTTTTATCTATATACAGAAGCGTTAAAAGACTTGGTATTCCAGATAGGTAAATTTCTAGTCTTAATTTTTTTCCCGTATATTATTTTTATAAGTATTTTCATATTTACATATTTTTATGCTTTAATTTAGATTCCCTGTCTCATGGAAGTTTCAGTTACGAATGTTATAAATTTTTCTATTATTATGCACAATTTTTTCCTTTTTTAAAATTTTTTTGTCTTTGTTATTAGTTATTAATATATTTCGCAATAACTGTAGGTAGTTATCTGGTTAACACTGATCACCTATGATCCTTATTATATATGAAATTTGAGAAAGATAAATTCTGATATATTATTGTCGTGATCATATATATCTGATATATTATTGTTGCTACTTGTCAAATAATACCCATTTCAAGATTTTGGCATTATTTAATAGAAAATAGCAATCTGTAATTTGCCACTTGTGGCAGTATAGTGGGTTGAATTGTTCGATTACGACACAACATTCTAGAACAGATGTTGGAAAACCGTGGCTCTTTGGCTCCATCAGTGTGGCTCTTCCACAAAATGGCACATGCAGGCAGGCACATGTAAAACAAGAAAATCTTGAAAATACAATACAAAGGCTGTCGAATTTTACGCAAGCATGAAAACAACTGATTTCAGTGTAGTTGTACTGACAAGAATAACACTGATATCCACGTTCGATTGTGTCCCTGCCTTGATGAGATGAACTCATTTTATGATCGAGTTTCCCTGTGACCTTCGGGAATTTAAATCTCCCATAGCCAAAAATTAAATAGGGATTTCTCTTTCCTTGATGTCAATAAAAAGGGTGTTCTCTAGTAAAAAGGAAAAGCATGCGAACATAACAAGCTGTGTTAAGGCAGAAATGGAAAAAAAACCATTAATTATAAAACATCTTTGGGTAAAAATATATTTATGGGTACCCCTAGGCGATTTTTGGCAGTATATGAATACCGAGATTGTGCAATTCTTTGACTTGTTATTTTGGCTTGTGTAGTGGCAATTTTTGTGCCAAAAATTGACGCTTCACAAAGCCAAAATAGCAAGACAAAGAATTTGCACAAACTCGGTATCCATGTACACATTGACCTATTTTCACTTCCAAAAAAATCAGAGAATTACACAAACTTGGCATTGCATGCTCCCTTGACCTTATCCACGTACACATTAACCTATTTTCACTTAAAAAAATCAAAGAATTACAGAAACTGTGCTTTGTGCATTCTTGGTGATAAATGAAACAACTTCGCGATAATACAAGAGGTACCCTTTTCTCTACTCTAACCCATTTTTGTAAATTTCTGCAGAAAATGAGGTAAATTTAGAAATTTTTCTTATACACGATGCTTACCGATATTCAAATTTTATCAGGAATATTAAGTGTATATCAGCTGAAAAATATTCCCAAGACCTTGAATAACGTTTTCCAAACATTAAAATGTAAGCATAATAATATAAATGTATACTCATAGTTCATGAATAGTTGTTCTAAATTACTGAAATAGTTGAATTCATGAAAGTTCTGCTTATTTGCAAAAACATAAATACCAAGCCAATTTTTCTCTTATGAATATTGGTTACAGTGCCATAGAACATGTTATGTTGCCAAATTTTTATTAATTTCATCATAATGTATTTTTAATAATTTTAGCTGTTATAATGAAGTTTTTAATCAGTACACATAAACATCGGAAAGTTAATTTTTTAAAACTTGCCATTGTTGATATAAGATTTGAGCAAGATGAATATAAGGATGACATTTTGATGAACTTATCTCACCTGCATATGCCAACAGCTATAATATCACAAGGATTAGCAATATTGAAATAATAGTATTTTAGTAAAAAAAGGAGGCTTCTGTAAGAATTTATGAAATTCTAAATTTTTGTGGGAGATTTCCAAGTTTTTTAGTTTAACCCCTTAAGGACCAGTGCTGGGAGAACGAAGCGCAGTCACGGGACCAGACCTGCTGAAATGGTTGTCGCCACCAGCACGCGCATTTTCAGTAGTTAAGCCTAATTTTACACACACACACACAAAAAAAAAAAAAAAAAAAAAAAAACTTATAAAATCAGCATTTTGATATTATGACTTCAATTTTTAAAGTTGCATATTTAATGTTCTTGTTGTTAATGTGTATTAATATAAAGAATATCACATTAATAGAAATAAATTAAACTGGCAAAATACTAAAATCATAACTATACATGCAGAAATAAATATCATAAATATGAAAACAATTTACAAATATGAAATAAAAAAAAAAAACTAAACAAGAATTACCTGTAGGTAATTAAATTTCAATTTAAAAAATCTGATGTGTGTGAAATAATTCAAAATATGGATCGACGCATATTTCGCACTCAAAATCTGTTGTTTGCTTTCGCTTTTCCTTGGTTTCAGTGCACACAATGCATCTTCTCTTACATTTATTACCTTTTCCATTTTCAAAGTAAATTTTCAGAAACTGTCTTCCAGTTAGACAGAAAGATGGAATGTTTGGTGATTTTGGACAAATTTTTAAGTTTTTAACTAAGATTTCTTAGCTATGGCTAACGGAATGAAACTGAATATAACCCTAATACATGTCCCAAAATTTCTTAAAAAGACACTCAGAAATATTTCATCCTCAAAACTGTATGACATCAGGTTTATGTTAGAAAACTTCCTGTTTTTCTAAATTGAAAACAGCGTCCACGATGACCGGAAAGTGATCAAGGAAAGACCCCCCCACTGGCGGGATATCCGTTACTGATCGCGTCAATATATACATTATATGTAAAGTAAATACGTTATATACCAAAACATAATACCTGTGTCATTATATATAATGACCATTCAAGGCATTATATATAACGACCTATTAAATTGAGTAAGAAAAACAAAAACGCTGGCTCTTTCCTGAGAAATGCGAGAAAGACGCATTACACGTTGAGAAAGCTGATAGTCTTTTCCCCATCAGTAATAATGTTGTAATGTTACTTTTTAATTAACCAAGAAAGCTTATGTTAAGTTTCAAAATAAATAGAAAAATAAAAAAAGAAAGAAAATCATAATGAAATAAACAAAAACGCCTGTTACCCTTTAATTTACAGGCACACTTAGAAAGAGCTGTGATCTCAGTTTGTTTATTTCAATAAATCTCTCAAAACCCAAAACGGAAACTAATACCAGCATATGAAGTTCAGATGCCGAATGAATCAGTCCCTGTGAAAACAATTACCACTTAACTCCATGTACTGGCTTTTAAAAAATCAAATAAATCATTCCGTTTTAATGTCACGTATACACGGCGCTGGGCTAGTAGGAGCAGAATCGTTGCGTTGCATCGCGTCATGTATACGGGATGCTGGGCTGGTAGGAGTGGAATTGTTGCATCGCGTATACCTGATGCTGGTCCTGAATGGGTTAAATACTAAATTATAATGCTTATTTAATCCTTGAAAATCACTGGTTCTCTTAGTCCCTAGTTTAGTATGTGTATTAGGTAAATGCATTAGAATTATATTGGTCTGTTTCGTATGAAAGTAAAAATTCTGCAGACAAATTATGTAACTTACAAAATTTTAAAAATAATTTGGAATCTTCAGATTGATCGGAAAATAAGTCACAAAAGTCAAAAAGAGTGAATTCTTTGAAATGTTATGGACAAATTCAAGTACTGGCAGTTGGCTTAAAGTTTTCTTTTTTTATTCTTACAATTCACTCTTTACACAACTTTTCATCCTTAGGAAACAGCTGAAAGGAAATCTTATTTTCTTTACATTCGTCCTTTATAATGTTATTTGAACAACTATACACACAACATGCAGTAGGCATTGTCAACCCTCAGAAACTAGAAATGTAAACAACAATTTAGAAATCATACTAAAAATAATAAAACTATAATGGAAAATTCATAAAGGAATTAACTATTAAATCAAGGAAAAAAGTCATACATAAATATTAACAATCAAAACATGGTAAAGCAGTGAACAAAGATTATCATGGAAATAACAATAAAATATAACAGTTACCAAAATTATACTAACCAAATGAATGAAAAGTTAATTAAAGAGTGAAATAATGATCAAAGACGAAACACAAATTTAACAAATAATTAAAAATAAACTAAATTATCAAATTTTCAACAAATCTGATGCAGCAGAACAAACTTGTTCATTGCATTAGCTGTTCATACATCACATGACCTATGAGGTCACTGGAATGTATCACGGTTAGAGTAGAGAGAGTATTATCGTGAAGTTGTTTCATTTATCGTAGCCTGAGTAATTAAATGTTATGGAAACCCTATTATGACAGAATCCGTTGCATGATTGCGGTAAATTCGTAAGGGCTTGTGGTGTGTGTGTTGGTTAGGAAGTATATTGCTTGTTTTGTGGTTTAGATGGTAAAATGGCTGAATGTGGTAAGATTAATTTGAAATTTCTGTACAATTTGGAAAGAAAGAGGAAAACAGCATTACTTGACTGGTGTGTAAATAAAGGTTTACTTGGTAGTCATTATTAGGTGTCCTGTTCGCTGGAAGGAAATGCGTATGGTCGAACATCGGAAATGCATACTGTCGAACGTCGCTACAGAGGATATTTTTTACTCTTATTTTGTGAATTTATGTGGCGATGCCAATATACAGATTCTAGTTCAGATAATTTTAGGAAGTTTTTGGATGCTGTTAAGGAATTTTGTTTGACTGAAGACGTGTTAATTCGTAAATAAGGTAAGTGGATAGTTTCTTTGTGTAGTGCAAAGATGAATTTCCTTTTTTATGTTATTTCATTGTTTGATTTAAAATGTAGTTTATTGAGATCATATATTTTTTTGTTGGCTGCTCCTTTGACTTTTTAAGTGAATATAGTTCGATGTATACGTGGACAAAGTCAAAGGAATGCTCAAAGCCTAGTTTGTGCAATTCGTTGATGTGTTTTGAGTGAAAATAGGTCGATGTGTACATGGATACCAAGTTTGTGCAATTCTTTGTCTTGTTATTTTGGTTTTGTGTAGCGGCAGTTTTTGGCACAAAAATCACTGCTACACAAGCCAAAATAACAAGCGAAAGAATTGTACAAATTTGGTATCCATGTAGCGCTAAAAATCGCCAAGTTTTGCCAAGGGATACCTGTAAATATACTTTTACCTGTATCTCATTGAGAAAGTTATGTTAAAATGGTTTGAACGTATAAAGAGGATGAACAAAAAGAAGATATATGAAACAAGTATACAAGACAAGTGTGGATGGGAGAACAGGAAGAAGATTGGCCTCAGCAAACGTACGTTGATCATATTGAGGACGTTCTTAGTAAAAGCCAACCTAAGAGTACACTAATTAAGTAAATAACCATATACCTACCTAACATAATTTTTAAAAAAATGTGGCTGTCAAAAGAGATTTCAGTCATTGAACTGTTAACAATTGGCTCTGTTGAATAACAAGTTTGCTTACCACTGTTCTAGGATACTGTCTAAAAGAAAAAAATCCTTAATAAAGAACTTTCTAAGCAAAGCTAGCTTCTATTCATATTATACAAAAAGAAAAACAACCTTCACCATGCAGCCAGTCATTCACCAGATATCAAATCCAGGTTTAACTACCAGTATTCAGTAATATTATTAATTTGGCCAGTAGTAGGCTGAAGGAAAGTGGAGAGAAAGAAGACCAAGTACCATTCATGTTGTTTAAAAAAGTGCTTGTTAACAATTTAAATTGCTTTATATATCTTAAATTTTTTTATTTTTTTTTATTTTATTTTTTTATTTTTTTTTTTAATGAATGACCTGTTGGGCTAACTATGAAGATGTTTTTATTTTATTTATTTATTTATTTTTCAGATGAAACTTGAAGATTAATGTCATTTGGGAAATTTTATTTTGTTTTAAAGGTTACCATTTTGTTTACAAAAATGATTTGTTTGTATTATATGATTTAATTCTTCATTTAGCCGTATAATTCTGATGTTGGCTGATGATATGGCATGCAATCCTCGTAACCCACGAGCAGCTACAGTTTTCAACAATGCTCATCATCATATAAATGTGTATGGGGATGATGTAGAAGTTGATTACAGAGGATATGAGGTATTTTAATGCTGTTTTTATCTCACTTAATATGAATGTAATTTTATATAGCTATTTAACCTATGGTTCTCAACTTTTTTTTTTTTGTTTTTTTTTCCCTCCCTTCCTTCTTGCTCTGTATCAGGATGTTATTCTCTTCTTCCCCCATTTTTTTTTTTTAATTCAATTGGCAAATTTTTCAAAAAGTATGTAAAACTGAAAACATTTTATTTTGTCATGCTGTAAGTCTATGTAAATTAAAGTTTTATAATACAAAGTTCAATATTTGGAATAATTTGATTCCTGGACCTTCCCTGCCCCCGACCTCTTTTTTTTTTTTTTTTTTTTTTTTTTTTTTTTTTTTTTTACGAAATTTGGGGAATAGACAACACAATTCTTTGGAAGAAGCAGGTGTGTCATAAAAGCTATCTTTCCTCTGACTAACTGAAATTTCTGAATGTCATGTTCAAACAACTCCTAGGTAAAGAATTACATCATTGTGATCAATATCAGTACATGGATTGAATGCAGCGACAGTTTTGTTCCTTGAGTGATAGTGAAATTGGGGGGGGGGGATAGTAAATATTTTTCTGACTTATTTAAGTAATAAGTGAGTTATTTAAATAATAATACCTTAGGACATACTTGTTTAGAGTGGGTTGTTGCTAATTCTGGTTTTCATTTGTTAGCATAAGAGTGGGAAGGAAAAAAGAATTAGATTCGGAAGAAATTCAGTTAGACTAACAAATAACAGTCTCCCTTAACTAATTTGATCCAACTTATTATTTTTTGCAAGTCATTTTTTATTACAGCAGTCTTATCAAAATTTAAGTCTGAATTTTTTATTATGTTGAAAAAACTCTTATTTCTGGAGCAATAGTGAGATATGCAAAGCAAAAGAATATCTAGTGGTTAGGTGCCCAGACAGGAAAGTAGTTAATGACTCTTGATTGCCAACAGGAAAGTGGTTAATAATTCTTGATTACCATACCGAAGTGCCCAGGTTTGAATCCTGGAAAAGACATAGATATGAATTTGTTTGTCCCTTCATAAGAGGCAAAGGTGGTCCACCAATTAGGTGCCTCCATAATAATAGTGATTACTGCTTCTGACCTTAGTAGTGGCAAATGCCTATAATGGCTAGTCTCCACTATTGATAAAAAAAACCTTCTGTGGTGGCCTTAATGTGAGAGAACGGCATTGACACATTTCAGCTATAAGAAAGTGTGATTTCAAAATTAGTTTAAACAACAACCTTATTTTGGCATAGATTTTTGACTATTATAAAAGACAAAACATTCTAATTAATAGAGTTTGGGGGAAAATGTGGAGGAATGATAAGTGAAGAAGATATAACAAAAGTTTTTCATTGTGATGACAATGCCCTAATCAGAAATCAAATAATGGACAGTGAAATCTGTAGTATGGTTTTAAAACAAGAAAACTAATAGTGACAGAAGTGATAAAGAGATTTTGATTGGCAGTGTAGTGAGAATTTGCGACACTACAATTACTTACACTACAAGGACTTAAACGGTGGAGCAAATTATGTCTGCCTATAAAATTAGTAATAGCACAGAAAATGAGGCAGCTTAAAAAACTTACATTGAAAGAAATGTTTAATAAAACAAATAAATATTGAGGTTTTACTGTCAATTTTGATTCTCTTAAAGTCTTAAATACTTCACTGTTTCATAAGCAACTGTTTCATATTTTTAATTTTATAATTTCTACATGTCATCTTACTAGATTTAAAGTGATAATCTAAAATCTGGAATTGCCAACATCATAATGAATCTGGATTTCGGATTTCGTACTGTACAAAATTTATATATTTATTAGTGTACAAATTATTATTTCATCAATATAAAATAAGGAAATAATTTTATTTCATTCACATCATTTAGATATAGCTTATAATTATCTTTATCAGCTGCTTATAATTTTTTAACTTTAACTGCATTATAGCCAGTTTTATGAACCTTTAATTTCACTGTTAGTTTACCTGTGCGAGGTAATATAAGTCTCTTTGGAACTCTGTCTGCAGTAGGAATATTTCTTAGTTGGAAACTCCTAGTTTTATGTTTAAGAAAATATAAATTTAATATGTGAAATACCATTTACATGTTTCTATTTTTTTACATGTGTTCATTTTGTTAAATATTAATTAAAAAATTTCCTTTTAGGTTACTGTTGAAAATTTTATCCGGCTTTTAACAGGGCGATTATCTCCAAGCACACCAAGATCAAAGCGATTATTATCAGATGAACACAGTAACATTTTGATTTATATGACAGGTGAATTTTTATTTGTAGTTTCACTAATCTGTCTAAAAAGACTAGATTTCATAAAATAGTTTATGGTCCATTTTCAAATTTTGCTTACATATGCTGTCCCAGAAGAAAAGAAAGAAAATTCAAGATAAATTAATATTTAAAGTTTAATTTGAGCAATGCATTGCATAAAATGACTATAAATATATTTCTACAGTTTAAAATATAAAAAAATCAATTGAAAATGTTTAGATAAAAATTTAGCAAATCAATGAAAATAATTTGTTTTCCACTTCATGTCAAGTCCGTTACCTTGAGATTATTTTACCCCCAATTAGTTTGTAAATCTGAATGAATAATAAAGTAAATTTCAGTCAGTCTGGAGTTGTTTTGAAATGACAATGCCACACAGTGCAAACCTCCTAGAAACTACTGGGTTCTGGGATCAGAACCTTCTGGTTTTTCACATTTCAAAATTAGCAGCTATTGCATAAGTATCTAGAAAATAATTTATTATTATTAATTTTTTTTGTGTGTGGAGTTGTTAAGTTGCAAATTAAAATTTACAGTTTTGGTATGCTGCACATGCATTGCTTTTAAAACTAATATAGAAAAGCCAGGTTTTGCTTGTAATGGAAGGGGAGGTTCTTGTATATAAATTTGATACTCATTAATGTTTGATTATACTTATCTGCAGTAAAGTGTCTTCTGGTGACCAATGTTGCTAAAAAACATGAACAAACATCAGTATTGAATATCCTCTCTCCAAGATAAACACCAAGGTGACCAAAATTATTTGGAAATATTTAGGGGTTTTAGATAGAGATCATAGCATTAATTTCCATTTTTCTTTCTTTTTTTTAAATGAACTGATCCTTTCCCTTGTAATGATTTCAGAGTATAACTGGATTTAAATTAAAGGAATAAATTGGAAAAAAAATGTAACATTATCATTCACTTGCCATTTAAAACTATATTTGTAAAAAGTAAGTATCATGTATCTGGCTGCGATAAGCCAATCAGCTGCAAAGGTGAGAACTTTTTGTTGTAATTTTAAGGAAAATTTCTTCTAAATATGTTTAAGGGAGTAGTTAAAAGTGATTTGATTTTGGTATTGAAGGAACTCTGTGAAGAAGCCGATTCTAGTTTAAAAGTTGTAGAATTAAAAGATAAGCTTTTAAGTTCTAAAGAATATTTGAAAGATAAAGATTTTGTTATTGAATTTCTTAATACTACGGTTGAAGAAAGGAAAAAGTCAGAAGAAATTGTGAAATTGCGTTTAATGCAAATCGAAAGTAGTAACGAATCTAGTAATAACGTAGAAAATACATTTTCATTAGATAAGCTTTTGAAAGCTGTACAGGCATTATCGATTTCTGTACCTAAAAAGGGTGAAGCATGGAACTTATTCTTTGATTCAATAGAAAGGGCTTTTAAGCATAAGAATGTACCACATGAGTTTAAGTCTGAAATTTTACTTAAACTGATAGGTGATAAATCTTCTAATATTGTAGTATATATTAAAGATGATGATTTGAAAGATTATGAAAAAATTAAATCTTTAATCCTTAAGGAATATGAACCATCGCCAATTATATGTTTATCCAAGCTCAAATTATATGTTTCGCCAAGCTCAAAGGTTGACGGGAGAAACTCATTTGCAGTTCGCCTCTCGTTTAAGATCATGTTGGATCCATTATTGTAAAAGTAGAAACGTCAATGATTTTGAGTCTTTAATTAACTTAATAATTTCTGACAAACTTTTTCAAACATTGGATAGTGATTTAGCGTGCCATGTTGCAGTTCGACAAGGTGAAAGTTGGCTACGTCCAGAAGAACTAGCGAAGGAATGCGACACTTATTTCATCGCAAAAGGTAAATCTTTTGATGACATAAGAGGTGAAAAACGCGCTAATTTTCGTGATTCATACAACACAAACTCTAAATATATTCCACCAGTGCTAAGAAAAGATTTAGTGGTAAATGAACAGAAACATTCGTTTAAACCGCGAGAATGGTATGTGTGTAGTAGCAGTTTACGTTTGGCTAAGGATTGCCCGAACAGGCGAAATAAATTTGAGAGGTCCAATAAACAGAACGATAATTTCCCGGTCAAACCGAAAGTTAACACTTCAAGTAAACCGAAGGACAATGCGGTTGTTACAAATGTAAATTCTAAACATTTACAAAAACGCGAGTGTTCCGACGGAAAACTTAATTTTTATTCCTTGGAAAAGATTACTATTTACATTGCAGGGAAGCAAGTAGAAGCTATAAAAGATTCTGGTACGGAAATACCAATTTTGAACACTACATTAATTCCTGATTTAAAAATAGAAAGTAAGGGTAAAATCATTTTAAGTTCCGCATTTGGCGACGTCATAGAGGCAACGTTAGCAACTATTCCCATTTATTACAAAAAACCAAATAGTTGTCTATATTCGCGCATAGAAGCTCTTTTCGCATTAACAGATAAGCTCAATGTTCAATGTTTAATTACACCAGATGTATGGAATCGCATATTTGAAGACGAGAATGAATCAATAGTCTACCCCGAGACGAAACTGGAAACTCATAAACAAAAACACCCTAAGGTTGGCGCCATTGAACTGTCAAATGTGAATCTTTTTTATAGCTCAGTTGTGAATCAGGATGATGAAAGACTAAACAGTTATTCGGAATCGAAAAAATTTAAGGTCGATCAGAGAAAGTGCCAAACATTAATAAATTCTTTTAAGGACACAGAATTAGGGAAGAATAATTTCTTTTTACAGGACGAATTATTATTTCATAAAGAAAAAATTTGTGGGGAAAACATACAACAGTTAGTTTTGCTCGAGAATTATCGAAATAAAGTCCTTCAATTAGCTCATGATTCCATATTCGGAAATCATTTAGGTATGAGGAAAACTAATGAAAGAATTAAGCTTTCATTTTATTGGCCGAACATATCCAAAGATGTATAAAATTATTGTAGAACATGCGAAAGATGTCAATTAAAAAGTCCGGAAAGACAATCGGATAAAATTTCGATTACTCCTATTGTTCGCGCGCCATATTCCTTTCATACAGTAAACATAGATATTATTGGTGAAATTTCACCGCCTTCTGGAAGGAAACATAAATATTGTTTGTGTTTGATAGATAATCATTCAAAATGGCCAGAAGTCATACCTTTAAAAAGTCTTTCTGCTAAAACTACTTGTGAGGCTCTTTTAGATATTTTTATGAGAACCGGTATTCCAGAAATAAATTAATAATAAAAAAAAAAAAAATTGAAATAGTGATCAAGGCACTAATTTTACCTCACAATTAACTCAAGAATTCGAAAAAAGGTTAGGAACTCATCCTCGTTTTTCGACACCTGGTTACCCAGCATCAAACGGCTCAGTGGAAAAATGGAATCGGGTATTTAAACAAATGTTACATCATGTAATTCGCACAGATCCTGTTAATTGGGACAAGCGCATACCTTATTTACTTTTTGCGTATCGTGAAGTTCCAAATTGCACTACAGGTGTATCTCCATTTATGCTTATGTACGGTCGTGAAGCTAGAGGTCCCTTAGCTGTGTTAAAATCATCATGGTCCGGTGAAATACCATTACCTCTTAATCTGAGTAATTCAGCAGTTGATTGATTATCTACAAGAATTAAAGATAAATTTAGAGAAAGCATCTGAGCTCGCTTCTTTATCTGCCGCAGGAAAAACAAGAAGCTTACGCATATTATTTTAACCGTTCGCAAAAGTTATGAAAGAATTTAAAAATGGTGATCTAGTATGTTTACTTATACCAGACTCTAGCAACAAGGTATATGCTAGGTGGACAGGTCCAGGTGAAGTTGTTAAAAGAGTAAATCCTCATTCTTATAAAGTTAAATTACTCGATGGGAGTGTAAGGCATGTTCATTTGGACAAAATAAGAAAATTTTATGTTCGAGCACAAACTGTGGGAGTGATATTTGAAGATGATTCTGAGTTTGGGAAAATTAATGCAACTCCAAATAAAGGAGATTGCGCAGCAACTAGAAGGGACATCGAGGTGGATATTAGTCATTTAGAGGGTAGCAAACAAAAGGAATTACACGAGCTCTTACTCAAGCACATCGCGTTTATTTTCTGGTGAGATCTAAATAGCCAGCGTTGGTGAACATAGAATTCGGTTGTTACCTGGAGCTGAAAGAAAAAAGCCATATATCTATAAGATCCCAGAATCTTTGAAACCTGAAGTAGATAAACAGATCGAGGAATTAGAGAGCTTGGGTCTTATTGAGCCAAGTGAAGCTGAAATAGCATACCCAGTCGTATGTGTTGCCAAGAAAGACGGAAGTATGCGTTTATGTATTGATTTCAAGTTGTTGAATCAAGTAACCAAGCCTGTTGATTTTCCAATGGAGAATGTGACTGATCTAATCAATAAAATTAGACACGCGAATATTATCACCTGTTTAGATGTCTTGAAAGGTTACTGGGAAATGCCTTTAGAAGAAGGAAGTCGTGATTTAACATCATTCAAGACACATCATTCCCAATATCGTTGGAAAGTGATGCCTTTTGGATTAAAAAATGCAGATTCTACTTTTCAGCGAGTGATGAATGATGCCTTAAGAAAACATAGTGATTTTTGCAAAGCATATATTGATGATATTGCTATCTTTTCACCAGATTGGAATTTGCATCTCAAACATTTAGATGCTGTGCTAACTACATTAAGTGATCTCAAGTTTACGGTTGAACGTAAAGAAATGTGTTTTTTTGCACGTTCGGAGATAAAGTATTTAGGACATATAATAGGAGCTGGAAGACATCAACCTGATCCTGAAAAATTACAAGCCATTGAAATTATAAAAGTCCTAAAACAAAGACTGCTCTAAAGAGTGCATTAGGCTTATTCAACTATTATCGTGATTACATAAAGAATTATGCAGAAATAGCTCGCCCATTGACGGAGCTTACGAAAAAGAAAATTCCTGAGATAATTCCAATGACTGCTGTTGAGGAATCAGCATTTCAAGAACTGAAACGTTGACTGTGTGAAGCACCAAAATTGTACACTCCAGAACCAGAAAAACCTTACACGATACAGTGTGATGCTAGTTCATATGGTGTTGGTGCTTGCTTGTCACAATCAGACAGCAAAGGCAGTTTGCTAGTCAAAAACTTTCGAAGACTCAGCAGAACTGGTCAACTATTGAACGCGAGGCTTATGCCGTTGTGTGGTCATTAAAAAAGTTCGAGTGCTGGGTGTTTGGATCAAATATCGAGCTGATCACAGACCATAATCCATTATTATATTTGCATAAGCCGGCATCGCATTCTGCCAAATTACAGAGATGGGAATGGCAGTTCAGTGTTATAATATTCATATTTCTCATTGCCCTGGTGCACAATTAAAAAATGCAGATGGTCTTTCAAGACTAGTTGGTGAATGAAGTAGGTGTGAACTAAGTATGAACTAATATGTTTTAAAACTTTGCATTAGTTACTTTCTTTTGTTCCGGAATTGTACTAGAGCTACTTTCCATCTGTTTTGAAAAAAAAAAAAAAAAATTAGTGGTTTTCATTTAATATTGCATTATAATATTGTGTTTTGAAATAGTATTGCATATATGTTTTATTTCAGAACTCCGGTATTGTATCAACTCGTCTGTTCATCCTGTGAGATGAATGTTTATTGCACTTATTTTAAAGTATGTTATTACGTCATATATACATGTTCATATATTTTGAATTAATTTGGTATGTGGAGTATACAATTTAAGTTTGTATTTGCTAGTTCAGTTTTCAGATTCTGCTTCGCTTTGGCGTAGCACAATCTTACCGGGGGGTGTCATGTATCTGGCTGCGGTAAGCCAATCAGCTGCCTGGCAGAGCCCAGCAAGTGAGAGGCACGACAGTTGCATGTTAGCCTCAGAGGAGACAGGTGGTAGATTATGTTGTAAGAGCAAGGTAGTGCTCCGAATTTACCATTATTCTTTGAACGTTAACTTTTTTTTACCATTATTCTCTGAACATTAATTTTTAATAAATGTTTGTTTCGTTTTCCTTATGGTGCCTTATTCATCCGTAAGGTCATTACAGTAAGCATTCAGATCTATAAAATTATGTAATACATGCCCTTTACAGAAATTTCAGTAGTATTACCTTTTTATCCTCTTCCTTTTGAAGTGTAGGGAAATTCAAATAAAAATTTAAAGAATAAAAGAAGTATCATTGAAACAATAAAAGGAAAAAAAGTGTTATGAAATCTGTTTATTGGTACTTTTTTATATCACACATATTAGTTGTTTTGTTGAACATTCTTGAGGGATCCTTTTTCATAAATAAGCATTATTTATAAAAGTAATGGTACTTTATGATTATCCCCACTTCCACCAAGTCATGAACTTGTAGGTAACTTTGGAGAGCATTTGCAAATTTGTAAATTCTTCACCAAAATAATAAATAATCAAATCTATAAGTAATCGGTAATAATTAGTAAACAGTCAAAAATGTAATCAGTATTTCTTAAAATATAAATAAATTTTCATATTGCCTATCATCTTTTTAAGATGACTTCCTATGCTGAAGTCTAAATTCATCAAAAATCACAAGTCTTTGGGAAGTTTTACAGCAGTCATTGAATATGATAAATAATTTGAATCTGTAATAGTAATACTATGTTAACCACTACTAGAAGTGATTGATAACATTAGAAGTTTAGTTGTTTCATTGGTTTCAAGAGAAATAGATTTTATAGAAAGTATTTGTGATGCAAATATGATGTTGAATATTTTATGCATTTTATAAAGATGTAAGAGCTATTCTGAACAGCTATATTATAGGTACTTTTGCTGTTCTGAATTTGTTTCGTATTGGAATGCAAACTGTATTTCTTCAAATTTTTAGAATCTGGTCATTAGAAATTTATGTAAAGTTGAATAAAGGCCTCATCTTATTTCACAAGTTAAAGATCACAGAGTATCTGTGAAAATTAAAAATATTATCAAAATGCATTTTTTTTCAAAGTTTCTAGATCCTTTTTGGATTTGGAAAAATATAATTAATAAATATTGTATATCATTTGTTAAAACTAAGTAAAACACTGTATAAAACACTTATGGAAACTGATTCCACTGATGACAGTCTACTTTGGCCCCTGAAAATCTGCACGAGAAAAGCCCCATGAAGCCAACAAACATCCTTTGTTTTGCTGCCCTCTTTCTGTGAAGGTTCTAGTTATGAATGAAATGGGATAAAAGAACAGATGTTCAAAAGCTGCAATAAGTCAATTCAAGTGATATTTTTAATTAATACTATGAAAAATTTGGTGCATCATAAGTTTTCTGATTTTACAAGAAAAATTCTGATCACCTATTATGCATTTATCTGTCTACAATATATAATTTTTTGAATTCACAAATTAAAATAGAAAATTTTTCCAAGTTTGTTTAATATTTTTACTTAAAATATGAGTCAAACCTGTAGTTTAATTTTTTCTTATCAAAATGTAATAAGCCAAGTAAAACTGGGCATTTTATTATAGGGCATGGAGGTGAAGGATTTCTAAAATTTCAGGATTCGGAAGAGATTACTAATGTTGAACTTGCTGATGCTTTTGAGCAGATGTGGCAGAAAAAAAGGTGAAATGATGTGTTTTCAATCTAAGTTTGTGAAAAGGATGGTGATGATTTTTTTTTTTTTTTCTTTTTTCTTTAGTAGATTATTAAGTTATAATTTCATATATTTCTTTATTAAGTTCTTTATTAAGTTGATTATTAAGTTCATATATTTCTTTGTCATACTGCTGTGCCAGCTATTCCTTTTGAATTGAAAAATATTTTTGCTGTTTAGAGTTTTTTCAATCTGCATTTATATCTTATTTCATATGCCAGTGCCATTCTTTAAAATTGCAGTCTTTTTTTTAAATATATTTTTTAGAGCCTTTTAAATGTTGGGTCCTTTTCCATTATTAAGGCAGCAGCTAGAATATTCACAAGTATACCAGTGATATTGACCTTTCATTAAGTCCAGTTTAGACATTGTAACTAAAAATATTTCTTGTTTTCTGATTATCAGCCCCCTCCCCTCCACTAAAAATCATGAACTTATCGGTGACTAATTTTTCATTAAGCTACTGTGCAAAAAGCTACAGCCAATTTCAAAATGGCAGTGTTCTAAGAATTCCATATAAGAGCAGTCAAGCTATTATAAAAGTAAAGAAGCCAAGAAACACTGGCAATAAAACATTTTCCTTTTTAAAGAAAACCATCTTTTTTTGAAATGTTATTCTCTGCTTTTAGAAAGGAAGGTAGAAATACACTGAAAAGCATACTTTGCTTTTTTGCAGAAATAAGAACACAGAAATATCACCAAAATAAACTAACATTTATTTCACGCTTTAAAACTGAAGAAGCAACCTTTTACATAAAAACATAAGCAGAAATGAAAGAGCATATATGGAGTCTACTGACTCTGCAGTTTATACATTCTCGACAACACGTCATTGGCCAATCAGCCAAATCAGTAGTAACCATGTTAGTTTTCCACTAGCTGGCCTCTGAAAATCTGAATGAGGGAAAAACCACAGAGTCCACATCTGCCCTCTTTTTCTCATGCAGAGTCAAAATTTAAGTTATAAACATATAATTACAAAATTACACATTTTATTTCTTTCAAACTGAACTTTGAAACTTATCATTTAAGAAATTTTTTGTCCATATCAAGTCTTTTGGTTCTTCCATAAAGGTAAACTTACATTTTTTTGTTTAAAAGTTTTCTAAATTATTGTTTCTTTATATCTAATGCATGAAATTTATAAAATTAAAATATGAATCCACCCATGAATATGCAGTTATCCTATTATTTGCATAATCAGCATCTGGATAACTGTGTACATTTTAGATGTTTAATTCTCGATAAATTCAACTTGTGTGATTTAGTACTACTGAAATACCTGAGTAATTTTAACAATGCTTCCTAATGTCTGATTCCAAGATTCTTCTGAAGTTGTGATTAGACATTTACCTTGTACGTGGTCAGGACTTGTCCTGTTAGCTACAAAAACAAAATATCCTAGTAGATTTCTAAAAAGTAATTTGCTTTTTTTCATCAATTTCTGCACTAGTCCATAACTTAACTTTCCATAGCCAATAGTGCCTTTTGCTATGGAAAGTTAAGTTATTGGTATCTGAAAGTGTTTTTAATGTATGTTTACTGATATATAAAAGTCCTACTGTCAATTTCTAAAAATTCAATTCCGAGTAGCTTTTTAGTTCTGCCTAATAGTTTAAGATTAAAAAAACTTACTAAATTGTGAGATTACTCTAGCTATACAAAGTTGATACAATATCATCTACATATAATAAGAGGATTACATCAGAGCTTTTATAACTCAATTGCATCATAGTATTTTTCTTAAAAATTAGATTTTCTAAAGTATTTTCAAATTCACAAAACCATTCATGGCCATTTTGATGCAGACTGTAAACATTACTTTTCACTTCCATAAAACCCTCTAGCTGTGTCATGTATATTTTATCATTTACTTTTGCATATAAACACAAGTTTTCATATCTAATTTGCAGTTAGTTAGTCCATATAGACATACTGATATTGTGGTTTGGTTTATTTGATTATGGCAAAACACTCAAGGGCTACCTGCGTAAGGGAAGGGATGCTTCTCGTATGCATGTTATACATGGGGGAAAACCACGAAAACAGCTATGCAGCCAGTCTGTTTGCAGGATTCGAACCTTGGGCCCAACTACCAGTGTTCAGCAACTTTACCACTTGGTTACTGATGGACACTGCTAGTACTGTGAAAAATATTCTTATGTTTGAAAAATTAACTGCAATATGTAAAAGCATCATCAAAATCTTCCTTTCTTTTCTGCCTGAATCCCTGTGTGACAAAGTGCACTTTATAGCTAACCAATTTATTATTTTTATTTCTTTTTAGTGTATAGACACATTTGTTTCTTAGTGTATGTTTCCTTTCTAGCTTCTCAATTAATTCTGAAACTTTCCTTTTCTTCATTCTGTCAATTTCTTACCTCATTGCCTTATCCCATTCTGCGGCATTTTCAAATTCCTATGCTTCTTTAAAATTTTGTGGGATACAAATTTCTACAGAATTTGCCTCCTCAAATGTGGAACTATCCTCATTTTCTATAAACTTAATTCCGTATTCATTTTTGCCACTATATCCATTTCGATTATTTGTTTTTGCCATTAATGTCAGACATCTGTTACTCAAATTTAATATTTCTAGCCTCTTAATATTTTTTGATGATGTTATAGGATCTAAAACAAGTGTTCATTCCTCCTTTATAATAATCTATATCTCTCTGTTTCCATCTGGCCTCTTAAATTCTTTTCTTTGTCAGTATGAGTCTGAAACTTCTTCTGATACGAACTTTTCTTCTAATGATTCTATTCATTTCATTCCAGTCTCCTGTTGTGTATACGAGCCAGTTTCCCTTAAAAAGTCCTCCACGAAGGCATCCCTCCCTTAAGGCAGATAGCCCTCGAGTGCTTTGCCGTAACCTAATAAACCAAACCAAACCAGTCTCCTGTTCTTCATCTAACTCTGATAACATGTCTAATTCTTCTGATTCTTTAAACTGAGTTTTAAGTTTCTGGTCCAAAAATGCTATTTGCTGCATTCATTCCTTCATAAAAATTCACATCAGAAACTCCTATTAAATTTCTGTTCTTCTGATAGCCTTGTTCTATACCCCATAGTTTCCTTGGCATGTCTTACCATGATTCCTTTTTTTGCATCTTATTTGAAATTTATCTCTAATGTGTGTTGATATAGCAATATATATTTTACATCCAAATATTTAAAAATAAATAACACTGCATTTTTCTATTGAAGAACAACTTTCATCAGGGGGTTTGATTATTCTTATGACACACCCCATTCCAAGTATGTATGAAACATCCAAGAGCTTTTCCCCACCATTCCTTTCCCATTTTAACTATCATTAAGAATAACTTTAACTGCGTCAAATGCCATTCGGTTAAAGCGTTCACATGCACCATCCTCTTCTGGGATGTAAGTATTTGTACATTCAGCTCTAATTCCATTTCCACATAAGTAACTTACGAATTACCTGTTACAAAATTCACTCCCATTATTAGAGCACATACTAATTACCATATTTGCTAGCGTATAAGGAGCACTTTTTTTTTTTTTTAATAGGTCGGAAAAATGGGGTGCGTCTTATACGTTGATACTCAGTTTTTGATTACATTCATTTCTGGAAATTTCCTCTATTTGGAGTTATGATTTTTTTTTTTTTACTTTTATGGAGTGTGGGAATATTACACTTACGTAGAGCTCAGTGAATGTGTATGGGCTGTTGTTGGCAATCACAGCCGAGTTCGTTTAAAGTTTTGATTTTTGTGAATGGCTTTTAAGTTTGTGAAATTTCTACTGTTCAATTTTCTTAAATTTGTTAGCAAGTTATGGCTCGAAAACAACATCAGCATTGGTATAACATAGCATACAAGCTACGTATGATTGCATATACTAAAGAACATAGAAACAGGGCAGCAGAGAGGCATTTTAGGCAACCACCAACTGAGAAAATGATAAGAACTTGGAAGAATTATAATGATTAGTAATAAATTTTTTTTTTTTCAAAAATGTGTATAAAAAAGGGCATGCATCTTATAGGCCGGTGCGTTGTATATGCCGGCAAATACAGTAATTTTCTATTTGTCTAATTTTTCATTTGCCTACGATTAGTTGTTAAAGTTACTGAATCATTAGCCCAGAAGGGCTATTAATTTTGTTTTGGCATTTTGCATTGAATCACTCTAAACAACATATCACTTTTCAAATTGTTGCCACCAAATATTATCGCCCTGTATTATATTTAAAGAAATTAAATAATGAAGGATCTGCATTAAATGTATGTATGTTTCTCACATTGTGATAAAACAATGGTACCCAGAGCCATCCAATTTTGAATAAAGTACATCTCCACCTGAATATGGGCATCTGGAAACCCAAATTTGGAATTTTTTTATTATCTATTTCATATTTTGTAAAGCATTTATGAGTTTTTGATTAAGAAACTCAACAATTTCAAAGCGAGCAATGTCAACACTCTATGGAAAGCAGAACATTTTTATCTCCAGCACACAAGACTGTGCATCAGAAACTCTAAAGCTTTTTCTAGTTCTTTTTAAATTATTTTACGATATTGCTGGTGAACTGAATTTTATGGTTTAAGTGCAAACAATATATTTAATAAATAAAGGTAACACACAAAGCATTGAAAAAAAAAAAAAAAAAAGCCTTTTTAAACATAATATAAAATCTGAAAACTTTCAAGATTTTTTTTTTTTTTTTTTAAATTCTTCATGCAGTACACTGTTAATAATCTACTATAGTCAGGTATCAAGAAATATTTACTCCAGCCTTTAGATGGAACTGGGAGTAGACCACAAATATTTAAATAAACCAATTGCAATGTTTTATTAGATCCCTTTGAAGCTGCTTTAAAAGATATTCAACTAGATTTGTGAATAATGCAAGATTCACATTTCTGTTTTGGTTTTTTAACCTCAAGCAATCCTTTAACATTTTGATTTTTACAAGCATTCTGAATGTAATCAAAATTTATGTGCGAAAATCTTCAGTGCCATATTTTCACATCATCCAATTTTTTAACTTTCTGGTTTCAGTATTGTAACCAGCTTTCTTTCGAGTCCATCATACCATTTTGCATTGCATAATCTGTCCAAATTATTTAAATATATCCACATTTTACCCATTTAAAAGTATAAAATTGGCTTCTGCCTTTTCTAACCTTCCTTCTAATAGTAAATTTTTTCTTAGATTTGGATTGTATGAAACAATTTCTGATTCAATCCAATTTATTTAATTGGCTCCTTTTACTACAAATTTGATGGTACCTTTTCCTAATATTTTACTTTTAAAATTTCCTGTAGCCAGGCACATACATGTGTCATTCATTTTTTCAAAATGTATCATTAAATTTCTGTTATTACAGAAGTGTATTGTAGCAACTGTATCTACAATCCAATTAAATTTATCTATGTTACCTCCTTTATTTTTAGTTGACACTTAATTTTCTACTAACATTCTTAATCTTTAAGCTGTCTCTTTTTATTATTTTAAACTTCCAGTTTTATTAACATTTTCTTTTCCTTGTGCAATTAAGTGTCCAGATTTATAGCATGTATAACAAGGTCCTATCTTCATATTTCCTGTTTACTTTCTGTTCTATCCTCATTCTCTCCTCCTGCAAAATCCATGTCCTTCCACTTGTAATCAGCTGTACTGTCCTGCAGTATTCTTGAGGTAACTGTCAAATTCCTTGAAATCCTTTAAAAAGATCTGCTAAGTTGTTATTAGCTTTACCAAGCATGTTCACAGTCATTTTTATCCTTTCTATGAGTAACCCCAATTCTTCATCTAGTGACTACCTGATACTGAAAAACTCATCCAGCAGCTATTGTTCTTGTTTTCGGTTCAAACTGCTTCTGCAAAATCTTCCACACTTCCTTTATAGCCCCGTCCACAAGAGCAGATTTGCAGGTAGTGAAAACTGGTTCTTCCAATGTGTCCCATTCACACGGCAAACAAGCATTAACTGCTTCTCCGTATTGGAGGTAGAATTTGGTAGAATATTCCTACCTCTTGGGAGCAGGGCAAATGGGGAGATTTCCCATACTGCACTGCACAATTGTGCAGTTCACTTAATTTTAACAAACAACATGGCTGATGGCAACTGACTGCTCACTGGACTGTCAGCGAAACAGTAGCATTGGTAGATATCTGAGGATGCGATATCATCCAAAAAAATAACATAGAAATGTACAAAGATGCTGGGTATTCCAGAAATACCATTCACATTAAAACTAAAGACGTGCATATCGACTTCAATGCAACAAGGGTACTTTGTACTTTTTGAACTTGCATCTGCTTTTTATAAATATTATTAAATGGTTTTTGTAAGACAAAATGATTTTAAGCTAAAAAAATTTCTTTTGCCAGCAATTTTTTTTAATTAAAATTTTTGGAAGAAAAGTTTAACAATTAAAATATCTTTCTTCTCCTACATTTTCTCAATGTCCCCCCGCAATTTTCTTATTGTATCTACTAGAGTGTTCTTAATAACTTTAAGGATTGAGTTTGCAATTAGTAGTTTCTGAGAACAAAATTAAAACACATTCTTATGTAAAAACTTCGAAACAAATAGAATCTCAATCACATTTTCACTTAAAATAATTTTTCTTTTCAGTATTTTGCAAAACCCATCCCTGTTTCTATAAAGCATATAATTTTAAATAATCTGTAAAAATGTTAAATAATTTAGTTCCATATCTATATAAGTTTTAGGATTTTAAGTAAAAGGATTTATCGAAAAAATGTAAACTGAGGAAACGCAGTTTAAAGAATGTAAACTATCTAAATGGTCATTAAATCATTTCAAATTTCTCAAAAATTTTATTGCTGAATTTCAAAACATATATATATAATAAAACTAGTGTTATTTAGTTGGTTAATATAAACATAAATTACAAGCTTTTATTTAAAGTCTTTGTAAAACATGTTCAAAACAATTTTAATATATGAATTAATTTTAATATATTTTCTAAATATTTATAATCAATATTAAAAGATTTATAATTAATATTAATTTGTCATTTTATTCATTTTTCCAAAAAGCAAAGTTTGAAATTTTAACATCTGCAAAGCATTGTATTTAAAACCATTCAGCAGTATACGTGATTTCTCTTCTTCTTTTAACCATTTGGTCTCGTATATAAATTGCATTTAAAATTCATTTAAGTATATTTTAATTTATTTAAGAGTTAAACTGCAATAGCATTCTATTATAGCCATAGTAAAGAATGTAAAAAAAAAGATATAAGCAAATGTTAGAAATCCGCCAATCCGATTTGCGTTTGTGACATCATTACTCACAGTGGCTTATGTTTTAAGGGATGGAAGACGATGTACATCTGAACCGGTCCTGAAGGCAAAACTGCTTCATATCCCTGTTTCTCTCTAATACAAATGGTGGCTATGTGAAAGAGCGTTGCATGTGAACAGGGCTTATAGCTCAAACTTTTTTGCATCAATGACCTGAAATCCGATTTAATTTCATAGAATAAAAAAGCAAAGGCTGTACTTTCCCTCAAAGTGAAATTCTGCTTTTCATGCCTTGTACTTTTTACCCAATAATTCTTCTTTATCTTCTATGAAGCTCCAGCAGTTTTTATCCAGTAATAGCAGCTTTATGTCAACTTTCTATACCAGTTGTCATGGTTTAACAATCCAAATCCTTCTGGTAGCAATGACATCTTCAGTTATAAAACACAGTACCTTAAACCAGTTTCTAAAGCATATCAACACTTTTGTTTTCTTGTTTGTCACAGAAGGCAGCCCTTTTCATATGCATTCTGTTAATACTAGGTTGCCTGAGTCCATAACTTATCAGCAGAGCAGGGTAAAAAAAACACTGCAAAAGCATACTTTGCTTTCTGCAGAAATAAGAACACAGGAACTGGACTAAAAACAACAACTAATACTTATTCTATTCTTAAAATTAACAAGTCATCAGCCTTTTACTTAAAAATTGAAGCAAAAATGAAAGAGCGTGTGTGAAGTCGACCAACTCTGTAATTTATACATTCTTGACAGCATTTCATCGATGGCCTCTGAAATTTGCATGAAAAAAACAAACATGCAGCCAAGATACACAGCAATCTATTTTCACTTAAAAAAAAATCAGACAATTTCAAAATCTTGGTACTGTACAATTTCAGCATTTAGCACTAGATAAAACAAACATATGCTATGTGCATACCTGTGCTAGCAACATACTGCTTTACCTCACAGTTTTTGCAACTTTTTATTGGGAGTGCAGCTAACTGGGAAATATTTTTTAAAAAATAACAGAGATTTCTTTTTTTATATATATAAATATTTTTGACTTATTGCCGAAAGAACTGAGATGGACTTTATCATTTGGCAAGTACCAAATGATGTGTCTTTTCGATGTCTGCTAAATCAAAAATTAAATATTTTTTGGAGTAATTTTGTTTTCTAAATTTTGAAAACAAAAGCTATAGGTAAGCTTAGAAAGTATGATCAGTTTTTATCCGTTGTTTCCCTACTTACCAATTAAATTAATGTAATTCTTCAAACAGAAAAAAAAAGTCAATTTTTAAGAAAATTTAGATCTTTGAAATTAAATTGTATGTTTTTTTCTGTAATTTATATAAACTTCTTGAATGACTTTTAATAAAAAATGCTTTATAATAATATTTCTATTTAAAAAATGCATTGTTTATCATGTCTGGAAAATGAATTTCCACTTATTGTGTAAGAAACATAAAAGCATGCCTTCATTGTTATTAATAGGTTATATGGCAAAATATGCTTATTATACAATTAGCATGTCATTCCATAAATCATAATGATATGTAACCTCTCGCAGAGTGTCATATTTGGCAAAAATGTGAAAAGTGAGTTTAAACATCTTTCATGCAGCCAAAACCTTATAAACTGTTTTTGCTGTCCGTAATTTCAGAAAAACTGTTTCTTTTCCCTGTGGCCAGTTGCAGTACCAACCATGATATTTTTATTACATGGCTGTTTATGACATTCTTTAACAGCCATTTATGGCAAACAAGTGATATTCATGAGTTTTGCCAAATTAAAATAACTAATATCAAATATCTCCTGTTGCTTTGCATTTTTTTATGAACAATCTGCTCTAAAACAAGTCAGTTATACCAAAGTTTTTTTAAATCAGTTATTCTACCTAATAGTCATGTTGAATGCTTTTGAAATAATGTTATATTTTATCTTTTGTACCATTGGAATAATCAAACTGTGCTTTCTTATTCTAGGTACCGGAACATTTTTTTTATGATTGACACATGTCAGGCTGAATCCATGTTTCAACGCCTTTACTCTCCCAACATATTAGCTATTGCCAGTAGTAAGATTGGAGAAGATTCACTTTCTGTTAGTATTTAATTTTATACTATATTTTTATTTATAAAATAATGATATAAGTTTGAGTTTAAAAATCAATATCATATGAAAAATATCATTTTTTTCTACAATTTCTTCAATTTCTATTTAGTATTTATGTTAATGTTTTAAAGTGAAATCTGTGAATTTTGGATATCAGTTTTTCTTTTGAAATGAGTGCATGCTTATCAAATTAATTCTATATTACTAAAATTTTAATTTTTGCACATAAAAAAAACAATTTGGAAGTTAGCATCTTTATTGGGGAAATAAAAGAAATAGATGACTTTTGTATCATTTTAAAAATAGTTAATGTGTATATATATATATATATATATATATATATATGTGTGTGTGTGTGTGTGTGTGTGTGTGTGTGCGTGTGTGTGCAATAAGATGACTTAGAGTAAGCTGAAACAGATTGATGATGGTTCTCTGCAAATCTTGGGGGAGACTTTACTGCATAGTTAGAAAAATTACACTTGAGAGACTTCTAGACAGACGTGGCCGAATTGAATATAATTTTTATAGCTGGGTATGAACTAGTTATCGAAAATGTATTTTTTATCACACATGATTATGGCTGCAATTCGCATTCCACAATTTTATACAGAGTATCACATTTTAGATAACAGCATAGTTAGCAGCACGGCGAAGCAAAGGAAGTGCAGTAGCATCTGGACTGCAAGAGAGCTGAAGCTAAAAGTACGCAAATTATCCAGTATGGAGGCTTGGCAAGAGAAAGTTTGGGTTTAGATTAGAAAGGTTTCAATTCTTGAAAGTTTGAGTTTAGGTTCCAAATAAATTACATCATCAATATTATGCAAGCCATGTACGATGGATTGATCTAGAAATGACACAGTCCAGAAAGTTATAAATATTTTTAGAATAGAAAGGGGGAATTAAGATAGGCTGTTACTAAATTACATTATGAAATGGATTTGCTTATTTTTTATCTTATACATAGATACTGCTTGACATCCATTCAGGATATGTGAATGACATTAAGCTGGATCTAATGACTCATGAGCTCAAAATCGTAAAAACAACCTTGTATTTAGCGTAAGTATATTGAAACACTCAATTGATTTCGAGGGCAGCTAAAGGTCCCTCCTCATCAGGAGAAAGAAATACATAGTAAGAAGAAAAATAAAGGGGAAAGAGTCTCAGAAACATGTGGTTCTTATCAGCACTGCACGTGGTTATAACCAGATTTTTAATCAGAGTTACACTGGCCGCCTATGAGCCAGGCTATCTGATCAAACATGTAACACAAAGAACAAGAAAAATTAACGAAGGGAGCGAGGGGCAATTGCACCTTCACACTCAAAATCTGAACTTCGAATGACCTCGAATAATTCAAAATCTGAACCTCGAATAATTCGAAATCTGAACCTCGAATGGTTCGAAGTTCAGATTTTGAGCATGAAGGTGCAATTGCCCCTCGCTCCCTATTTTTAACTTCACTAATTTTTCTTGTCCTTTGTGTTACATGTTTGATCAGATAGCCTGGCTCAGTAAAAGTAGGCGGCCAGTGTAACTCTGATTAAAAATCCGGTTATAACCACGTGCAGTGCTGATAAGGACCTTGTGTTTCTGAGACTCTTTCCCCTTTATTTTTCTTCTTACTATGTATTTCTTTCTCCTGATGAGGAGGGACCTTTAGCTGCCCTCGAAATCGATTGAGTGTTTCAATATACTTACGCTAAATACAAGGTTGTTTTTACAATTTTGATTGTCACATTAGCGTGTTTCTCTTCTAGTCTAGACTCATGAGCTTTTGATATAAACATGCAAGAAATAACAGGAATGCCTTTTTTGTTTTTGTTAGAAGAAATTCTTACTGACATTTCAAATTTGTTGTATGTGCTCAGAAATTGTTCAGCCAAGCCTGAAACTGTCAGATACATATGTTAGCAGCCTTTTAGATGCATTTTAGAGGGGCCAGATAGTAAGACTGTATGAAGCAGGTTGGTTTAGGCATCATATTGTTGAGCATGTGCAACAGAATGTGTGAATCGTCGTGTTGTTATCACTACTGGCAATATGAAAGTTCTTTCTGTCATAGATGCAATATGACAGAAGGAATAGATGCTATAGTGTTATTTGATTGATGTCAGCACTCCTTGACAGGCATGTAGATCATCATCACAAAGCAGTTAAGTGATATTCAGAAGATTACAGATGCCTCTCAAATTTGCCCTAGCAGATAGATAACTATGCTATCAACTATCATTGATTGCAAATCTCTGCAATTCTCATTTGTATTAGTGGTTCAGGCAGCAGTAAGATTCATCAGTAAAGTCCAATAATAGTCCACTCATGAACTCAAGTTGCCTTTATTTTATCACTAAGTGAAAGGAGAACTGTGATGATTTGCACTCAATATAATGGTTGCCGGCTAGGGCATATTTGCTTTTTATTTGCTATGGTTTAGAGTTTAGATCATTGAGATATCCATGCTGATGACACAACATCTTGAATATCATCATCACTGCTTTATAGTGATGATCAAATTTACCAAATAATCCACATCTCAAGACTTTCTGGTGTTTGTTGTACTCTGCCACTGATGTGTCAATCTAGTTTCCAAGCAGCTATAAATCTACCATTCATAGATACCTAGTATTTTAAGCCTTTGAGCAGTTCTGAGCCATTCACAGCAAATCTGATAGGTCAGCAAGATTTTCAAAGACAAAATACCATTCCTATTACTTCCTGCATTGTGACACGAAATGATTATCATATGCATACCTACCTTCTATTTTACAGGTGCCATGAAAAAACAACGAATATTTTTTATTATAAGAGCATTAATAAATTTTAACTACATTAGAAATGAAATACAATTTAAATTTGAACAGGGGCCTTGAATTTAGAGATGTCTTGCAAAATTTCGGAAATTTTTTTTATTTTTTGTGTATGTAATTGCCCCACATAAACATTAAGTATGATTCTAGATGATAGTGTGAGGTGCCATGTTGGTGTTTATTATACCATTTTACAGTGCCCCACATTCTTTCAACTATCTGTATATTGTGTATGGCATCTAGTGTTTGGGTCTGTGAAATGTATCTGTGGTTACTGTGATATAATCATGGCCTGCTTCTTTCAAATCCTCTGTTTTGTAGCATTTCCAACAATCAGAAAAAATTGTACTATTGTTATCAACAATTTTTCCAATCATACCAAGTAAAGTTTTAGCTGAATGATTCACAATGACTGCAAGAAAATGTTCTTTTGTTTCTCTACATAAGCCTCCAAACTCACTATGGATGTAGAACATGTCCAACGTTTCTAATTTTACAGCTATAAGGAAGTTTAGATGCAATTCCTTAGACTAAGTGTTTAGATCTGGCACCTGTTTTTTCTTTGCCAGATCTAAGGTTGCGGTGCTAATTTAGTGTGGTAAAACACAACATTATTTCATGATTATTTTTACAGAATCTTTGCCTACGAAGAATTCCTTTATCATGTAGAAATTTCACCACCTCCTACTTATTTTAGGTAATTCCCAAATTGTGATATCCATTTCCCCCCTTTTTTCCTATAAAAATGTGCTTTTAGTGAAATAAAGCAAAGGAAGAGAGTCATCAGTCCATCAAATTATGCTTCATGCAGTTCTAAAAAAGAAAGGTTGCAAAGAATAACACATGAATATTTGGCTCAGTTTCACTCATAAAAACAAGATAGCTCAGCTGATCACATTTTTGCTATCTCTGGCATGTTGTCACACGTTTTAGTAATGCTTTTTTATAGCACCATATAACAGAAAAGTATCAAAAATCTGTCTGCATTGCAAAATGCTTTTAGGCTTTATATCTTTTAACCAGACAAATTGGGGAGAAATTTGAGATTTGTCTTGATTCTAAAATGGAAACCTAAAATTTGAGTAATTTTATGATAAATGATATTTTAATGTATGAAAATATCAGATTAAAAAAATGTCTGACATATGATTAACCCATTCACGATGGGCACCTCTGTTACCGAAGTGTTCTCTTGGGACGGCGCGTTAACCGCATACATCATCTTGTGGTGACGGGCAATTCGCGCTGCTAAGCCTAACTTTGGGAAAAAATTCGTATACATTGAATTTGTCATCCAATTGTTCCAATATTTGGTACATTATGAGAAGAACATTCAGGTAGTTGTCAGAATTAAATTTAAACCTTTATTGTTATAGTTTCCTTAAAAATTTTATAAAATACTCATTCTAGAATAATATAATTTTTCCTTTATCCCACAATTAAATATATATGGAAAAATATCCAAACAATCGCAGATTTTATTTAACAAACACATAATTAAAATTAAAAAATATTAAAACTGTCTTTCGTAAAAATTCAATGTGCAAACAATGAAAAGGAAGCAATATTTCAAAAAAGAGACAGTGTATGATATTCTTTGAAACATGGGTGTAGGCACAGTCCAACGTTGTAAATGTCACAGGAATAGAGGATCAGCAAATTTGACTCATTTAGCATTTGTGTATCTTCTACGGTCAGATAGCGCTTTCGTTTTAGAACACCAGCAGTAGAACATTAAAAAAAAAAAAAAAAAAAAAAAAAAAAAAACGCTTTTGCTAAGCCATTCAAAATATTCGTCTCAATGCCGGAAAAATCTAAGTGTAATAAGAAAGTTAAAGAGACATTATATTGCTCAACATCCACCCACGAATCTCCCTCTCATTCCGAAACAAAATACCAAAAATAAAAAACATTGCATAGGAAGGAAGGTACACACACTTAACTTTCGATATATTTCCCCATTACAGACATACAGCTACATTTAGTGGCAACAAAAAATATTAATTAAATGTTCTATCTAAAAAATCAAATGTGGTACGCCTGGCCATAGAGTGAATTAAATGGCGATTCAAATATGACACACTCAGCCGTGAGGTAATGTTCGCTGCTGAAGCACATATGACACGCCCGTACTGAATGGGTTAATGTTGGTATTGTACATATAATTTTATATTAAACTCATTATTTATATTAATATTGATATAAAACTTATTTATATTAATAAATTTTATCTTTCAGAATAACGTATATAGAAATTTATTAAATTCTGAGCATTATTTATTTTCGTAATTTTGTATAATCTGAATTTTTTATTAAGTTATGGATTACTTTCTTTTATGAAAATTATCCATTTTTATACATACTGAATATTTTTGTATATGATTTAAAGCAATTCATCATGACTTATGAAATAGTTGTCTCCTATTTCTGAGAAGTTTTCTTGATATTCTTGTTTTGTCAAATTCGTAATTAATTGGCTAATATGATTTTGGTAACTTGCTACTGCATTTTTTACTAAAGTTATTTATTTATTTAAATGTAAAAAGTGTAAAAAAGAATATATCCATAGATCTTAAATAGTTTTCGGCAGATTATGTGGTTAGTTTCTTTTCAAAGTAAAGTATAATATGCATTTTTTTACTTTTAATAAATTGCTCCTGTAATATTAATTATTTCTATAGCATCATGGAGATCCTACAATTGGAGTGTATGTTATAGACAGGTACACCTATTACGCTTTGGACTTTTTAGAGAAAGTGAACAAAGGTAGCACTCGAACAATGGGCCAGTTTGTAAGTATTTTTTTCCTATTTGTAGTAGATTGCATGTTCTTGCAAATAGCTCAAAACCAATTTGAGGATTGTTTAAAAGAATAAATAGCATTTTGTTTCAGTACTTCATTTAAAGTTTGCTTAAAGATTTTACTGTGCAATTTTTGATACTTATGTATGAGCTACAACTTACCCCACGTGCCACGTGAACTGTGCTATGTATGACTTCCTGTGGTGTCTTGCTGCTACAATGTCGCCATGTGTTGCACTGTTCAGTTGACTCAAATAAAGCTTCATTTCATGCAAAATGGAACATTGATGGTTACTTTGCAATATATTATACTCTTGTAAGAAAGCAATAGCATCAACATCACTGTGTGGTTGATCTCATACACTCATGATTGAACTATAAACTGCAGGGAAAAACTCCATTCTTAAAAGTGCAGCTTTTAGATGTTCTTAAAACTTAGTAACATCATAAGGTTTCATTATCAATTAATTTGTGTTAAGGTGCCAAAGCTGGCAATTCACTATTTTTTGGCTTTTTAGCTATTAATAATAAGTACCCAGTTTTTTTATATGCACTAAAACAATAAATGCCTATAATTTATTCAAAGACTAATTGAATTTAGACTTTTATGTAATGTTAATAAAATGAAAAGATATCTCTGATTGTTTAGTATTTTTACAGATATGTAGTCAATAATCTTAATTAAAGATACACCTAAACTTCCTGTGGTTACAATATTTTAAATAAATAAATATTAGTATTGCACATTACTAAGAATTCATATAAATCTGCTGTTCTGTAGAGATAGACATCAAGATGCCCATATCTGCAAAAGACCAAAATAATCAGGAACTGTGGAAAGTCATCTTAGGAAAGCTTTACTATATTCTGTAATTAATTTCACCAAGATGTCAAATTATTCCCTTTGAATGCTTAAAACTGTGTAATTAAAACAATTATTATCTAATTATTGATTTTTTAAAGTGCAACAGGTTTTTATGCTTTTTTTTTTAAACTTTTAATCTAAATTACATTTAATTTCTATTAATAGCTTCAAGTCTGCCCTAAAAGAGCTTGCATATCTACAGTGACTTCTAGAAAAGATTTATTTCCAGCAAATCCAGATAATGTTTTGCTGACCGATTTCTTTGGAAGTGTTCGAAATGTGGAGCTGACTAGGTATACCATAAATTTGCCACCCATGTTGAATCAAACAGCGAAGTGAGTAATTTTTCTGTTTTGCACGTTTTATAATGAATAAATTATGCATTTATGCAAAAAGTCAAGATTTTTCAAATAATTTTTAACTCTGCACATAAGACAAATATTTATTTTGAGTATTAAGAATTTTTACAGATTTGGGATCAACTTCAATATTTAAACTTGGAATTTATTTAAATATAGTAATTTTTTTTTTTTTTTATTATTATTATTATTTTTTTTTTATATAAAATGAATGACATATATATTTTTACGTAGTCAATGATTAAAAGAATGCTGCCTTATTTAAGTTTACTGGTCTACTAAATTCGTATGTAACTCTGATCAAAGTGGTTTTGTTTTCAATAGAATATTTCATTGATTCTTTTGTATTTTGAGTTGCTAATTTCAGTTATGACATCAAAATTTCTTAATTGGACTTTGTTTCTGTAAAATAATATTCCATTGATGCTGTTATTCTGTGTCAGAGATGAATTTGGTAGTTGTTATCAATCCCAACATACATTAGTCCGACTTAAATGATAATCCTCATCAGAAAGTCAAGTTGAGATATGGGTATCCCCTCCCCCCCAAAAAAGGCACATATATGTGTTGTTTTCAGCAGATGCATTTTAAATTTTTTTTTGATGTGTTGAGTTTTTGCTATGGGCAAGAGTTAAATTTTAAATACTTATTTTCCAAAAAAGCATGATTTTGTACATTCTAGTGACACAGACTCTTTATTTGAAATTTTAAGTGCCTGCACAATCCTGAAGACAGCAAGATGCACATAGATACTTATATCCCTCAAAAAATTTTTAAAAGCATTCCTGCCTCCCATTAGAAATGATTATCCAGTAGTACCACTTGCTGAAATACACTACATATGTGTTAGAAATTTGTAAATCTGTTTTTGACTTGCAATTAAAAAAAGGCAGAATTGATTAGAAGAGTTGTTTAAATATTAACAATTTTTGATTTATAAAATATTACTCAAAGCAAAATAAAAAATGAAACAAGTCATAGGAGACAATCAAAGATGTCTATGAAAAGCAATGAAATATTGTCAAAAATAATTACAATAATATAAGGTTGAATGTTCTCAAACTTGAAGCAGAACTTCGTTATTCAACAGGATATACACTAAGCAAGAGGTTGTTAAAATAGTAATCTGGTATGCTAGGTTCAGTGGTCAAGTGGCAAGGTAAATTTTCTATATCAGTGAAAGTTTCAGTACTTTCCTTTGATTGCCTATATTCTTACCGTGTTTATCATATCCTTTTTGCCCCTCCCCAGTCCTGCTATGCTGCCTCAACGTGGCGGGGTCACTGTGCGGAGCAGGCAAAGTACATCGGGAGCATACCTGGTAGGGCCACCCTAGGCTTGAAGGCCGTTTCAACATGCCCAGCTAAAGCATAGCAGGTGAAGATCCTTCAGGGGATAACCGTCTTGGTGATCAGGTGTCACAATCCTGGAGCCCCAGTCATGAGATGATCTCTCCTCCTTTCTGCCTCTTCTCCTCTTAACTGCAACTTTTCTCGTTTTCCTTCTCCCTTGTGGTTTCTTCTTCTGAGGTTTGGGCTCGTCATAAAAATCTGGAACAGCCTTGTCCCTAGTTTTCCAAGTGGCGAGAAAACTGCCCACATGTTTGCTGTGCGTGGAGACCCATGTCACTGGAAAGGAGGGTCCTGGTAGTTGAGGGGTGAGGTACTGTCCTCAACACACTGCTTTGGCCTCAGCTTCAGTTAAACAGGAGGCACCTTGTTGTTCTCACAGGTGTCAACTGGCTGGTCACTAGTCCTTATGTCAGAGGCTTGGGGACAAGCTCCCCGCTTTTGGGGAAGCCGACTGTGGGACTTCAGTTTGCATATAAGTTCGGCTAGCCTTGGCATAGGAATCTGCACCTTGTTGTTGGGCTCCATGGTGGGTGGGGCGGTCAGACCTGAATCTTCTTCCATTTAAATATGAATGCTATGATACCTTCCTGCTTCAACAATGTACCTGATACTTCAATTGTGACCAAAAGACTAAGAAACGACATAGAAAGCACTGTATCAGATGCATTTTGTCCACGTTTCTTAATTATAACCAGCTCTGAAGAATTGAAAAAAATGTCACCCTTTCTAATAAACAAACATCTTTTGTCTTTTGTAGGAGAACTGAAAAATATTAAGAGACTTTGGTCTGGAGACCTTTTGATAGAAACTGTGTCCGGAAGGCAGTCTAAAGTCTTTTGAAACAACTAAATTAGGAAAAGCAAATGTTGAAGTTAAGCCACATAACACTCTGAACTTATCCCAAGGAGTAATCTTTAAAATAGATTTACTATCAGTAACTGAAAAGGAATTCATTAAAGAGTTGGCAGATAAAAATGTGTGTGGTGCTCATAGGATCAAAATACGGAAAGACGGTCAACTCATTCCCACTAAACATGCCATACTTACTTTCAAGTCTCCTAACCTGCCTAAAAACATCAAAACTGGATACCTAAACTGCTCAGTCAGGCCGTATATACCGAATCCAATGCGTTGCTTCCAATGTCAGCACTTTGAACATGGAAAGACCTCTTGCTGCGGTAGCCTCACGTGTGCTCGATGTTCCATTGTAGGCTATGCCAGTGAAGGCTGCTCTGCTGCCCCCTTATGAATTAATTGTAAAGGCAAGCACCCAGCTTTTTCAAGATCATGTCCAAAATGGCAGACAGAAAAACAAATTAAAAACATTAAAGTTACACAAAAGATATCATTTGCAGAAGCCAAAAGACTTGTTCTCTGTAATCAGCCAAGACCTAATAAATTTTATGCATCCGCAACAAAATCATTCAAATCAATATCAACGCAAACCGCAATAACCACACAGAAAAAAGAACTAGCAATGACAGAAGATTCTAGAAACCAAAAATCGGAGAAAAAAAACCTGATGTTTAAATTAGTATGCTGGTGGAAATTAGTATGCATCCAAAGGAAAAAGATGTCCAACAGAACAAACATAAAAATGTTATCAAGGAAAAAATAAGCAAAAACCCAGGACCCCCAGTCAAAGTTCTATTGCAAGCATAGGATGCCTAGATGACTCAGATGAAATGAACGTTGAACAAGGGTTATCCCTTCCGCAACACCTTTTGCCTTGAAAGTAAAAAAAAAACGACACCGCCAAAACAAGCATCCATAATGGGTACCTTTATTTTATGGAATTGTCGGGGTTTCCATCAAAACCTGGATAATATCAAGGATTCAATCAACATCTATCAACCTGCCTGCTTTGCACTTCAGGAGATTTGTTTAAAGCCAAGCAGACATGCTAAGATACGGAGATATGTCTTAGTAAGAAAGGACAACCCATCAGGGGATCGTGCCTGTGGTGGTGTGGGCCTTACCGCCTCCCACAATCACCCATACACTGCTTTCCCTTTGATGAACCCCTTTCAAGCTGTAGTGATTCAGATTAATTTACACTTTTCAATCTCAGTATGCACTATTTATTTACTCCCACATGAGCATGTTGATCAGCAAGAGTTGGACAGACTAATAGAGCAACTCCCAAAACCTTTTTTTCTTTTAGGTGACTTCATAGTACCTTATGGAGAAGTAGGGACACTAATCCAAGGGGCTGGCAGATCGAACAATTAATGGAAGATCATTCTATATGTCTCCTTAATAATGGAGAATACACTTACTGTCATCAACCGACTAGAACATTTCATGCAATTGGTTTGGTTTTTTGTTCTCCATCTCTACTACCTTTTTGCTCTTTCAGTGTAGGGAAGAATCTCTACGATAGTGACCATTTCCCATTGATTGTAAATATTACAAGAAAGTCGGTGATCTCAAGACTACCATGCGTACTTTACAATAAAGCTGATTGGGATCTTTTTGCATCTTGTGCTGTGCTGACTGAAAAATGGTTAACGATGTGGACATTAATGCAGCAGTAAAAATGATCTTTGAAACTATTGTACAAGCAGCTGAACTCTGTATTCCGAAGTCCTTGACAAAGTTCCCTAAACCCTGGTGGAACATTGATTGTCATGAAAGAGAACAAAAGAAAACTTGGCGTATCTTTCGCCAATATCCAACACTTTTAAAAAGCTAAGGTGAATGTAAGCAAAGTGAGGCAGCAAAGTCATGGGCAGCCTATGTGTCCACTATTACCTCCTCAGTGTCTAGCAAACAGGTTTGGGAAAGAGTCTGCAAAACTTATGGACTATATAATGATGATTCCTTTTCTGTTCTAGAAAAAGATGGAAAGTTGATAAGCACTAGAGAAGAAATAGCGATGCTTTAAGTGATACATTTGCTGCTGTATCTGGCAGTAGCAATTACTCAGAAGAGTTTCTGTCCACAAAGATGCACTTGAAAAGGATTCAGATCAACTTTTCCCATCCTAATGCAGAATCTTATAATAAAGTTCTCATCATGTTTGAATTAAGAAGTGTAGTCTCTCGCACTGATAAGACCTGCATTGGTCCTGATGGCATAAGTTATTTGATGATAAAGCATCTGCCAGGGTTCGTAGCGGTCCTTACAAGTGCTTATAAGTCCTTATATTTGAAAATGAAATATAAAGGCCCTTATAGGTGCTTACTTTTTTTTAAAGCCCTTATTTTTTTGTTTTTAGTGCTTATTTTTTGCTTTTAGTGCTTTTTTTAATCCCCCCCTTTTTTTTTTTAATGAACGCGCATTTGTTTCCCTTACCAAAGCCAAAACTAAATAAACACCTTTTCTTCCTTATATGGAATGTCAGATGGTGAATCATACTCCTGGAAATTGCTTTCCCCCCTTTCTCTGCATTAACGTAACCTATGGTGCGCGCGAGAGAACAGACAGGTGCACGTCGTTCTATTGGTAAAAAAATTGCGAAAACGGTAGAAAATTCCGGTACATTCGGTATTCTTTTCCTCCCACCCAAATAACACACGTTTGAATTTCCATCAGGATTTTAATAATTTGCATTCTCGTTCTGCATGGTCATTTCATATTTGTGTTTATTATGATCGTTATAATTTGATCATATTCATGAATATTTATAATAATATAGTTGCAGTAACTGGTGAAGTATAGATAAACTTCCAAAAAATGGGTGTGTTTTTTACACAGATTAGCTTTCTAAGGAATAATATTCGGAATGGCTTAAATAAAAGGAAAGTAATCGAATAGTCAAAATAATTTTTTTTTTCTGCCAATACATTATACAGTACGGAGGTTCTCTCCTTTCTCCGCAAAATCTCTAATATTGAAGCATTGGACTTTTTTTTTGTCACTGTCCAATTTGGATTGAATAGGACTAAAAGTTTTTGTGGTCTACCCAACCGAAGCGAAGATTGATTCTGTTCTAGAAATTTAACGCAGTCTGTTGAAAATTAGAATCAGAAACTCCCCAGATTAGTAAGTCTCTTTCTTTTCTTTTGTTTACTTCTTTATTCTCCGAATACTGGCAGCTGTTGATTCCGATTGCGTAATATCTCATGTGGAAGAATTACGCTGCACGTATTGTGCAATAACGTATTGCACTGTCGCAATAACATATTGCGCAATAACTTTTGCGGTATTTTGCAGAAGATAATTAATTTTGATGTTCAGTCTGAGATTTATTTATGAACACCTTAAAAGAGTTTTTACTGTGCTTTCTAAGCAGAATATTTTCTCAGTTCTGTTGGTCTATTTTTATGTGATGCACATATTGAAATGTCAAAATCATTTATTTAGCCGAGAAATCTAAAGAACGGCTACAATCTCCCCCACTCCTCTTTTTCCAGTTTATCCGGAATATTCGAATAGTATGCGGGTTAGTTAAGCTTTTAATGTTAAAGAATGACTGCATGAAGCAAAATCCCATCTTCTGATTTCAGAAATGTGCCTCTTTTTTACTTAAATTACTTTGCTTGGAATATATGTTAAGGAAAAACTGTTATGCAATGATAATTTAGAAAATGTTCAGAATTTTGATTTAAGTTAAATTATTTAAATATTAATATGAGTGGAAAATAAATTGTATTTATTATTAGGTGCCAAACGAATACAATTAATATGGCTTATTATTATTTATTTTCTATATTTTCAACTGAAATATCATCATTAAATTTTGTAATATAGTTTAGTTCTGCATAGTTTTTTTTTTTCCTCTCATTGTAAACTAATTCTGTAAATTGAACTGTCATTTAAAATTAAAAAAAAAAAGTTAATTGTTTTCCATTGTTGAGGTAATGCTCATTCTCTTAATAATATTTGCATTGCTCATATTTTAAATTACAAGTCTAATTTTTCTTTTAAGGTTATGCAGTTGTGTATAATGTAATTAGACAGGTGCTTATTTTTTCCTTAAAATGTGCTTGAAAAGTGCTTATAAGTGCTTATTTTTTTAACTAAAATGTGGCTACGAACCCTGTCTGCCCTATGAATCTCTAGTGGTAATTCTCGCTCTTTATAATAAGGAATATATATATATGGAAGGAACAAATTTTTCCAACTGCCTGGTATAGGGCCTTTGTAATCCCTATATCAAAACCCAGCAAGGACCCGAAAAATCCTTTAAATTATCACCCCATCGTGCTCACTAGCTCCCTTTGCAAGATCATGGAAAAAAATGGTAAATCACCGTCTCACCTACTATCTGGAGACTAATCATTGCCTATCGCCTTACCAAAGTAGTTTCCGCAAGGAAAGATCTCAACTTGACAATGCCCTGTTTTTAGAAACTGCAGTACGCAATGCATTTGTGAAAAGAAATCATGTGGTCTCAATCTTCTTTGACATGGAAAAGGCGTACGATAAAACTTGGTGGCATGGAACTCTTCATGATCTGTACAGCACTGGGTTGCGAGGTAATTTACCCATCTTCTTCATTCAAAACTTTCTGAAGGACCGCACTTTCCAAGTTAAGATTGGTTCATTGCTTTCTCAATTATTTGTACAACAAGAAGGTGTACCCCAAGGTTCAGTGCCAAGTGTCACTCTTTTCAGCCTGAAAATCAATTCCATTTTAAGAGAACTTCCTCCCACAGTGCACGGTTTCCTGTATGTTTGATGATTTGATGATCTATTGTCATGGTCAAGATATGAGATACATTGAGGACAACTACAAATTGCTCTAAACAGAATCTTAAACTGGTCCAACAAGAATGGTTTTAAATTTTCTAGCCAGAAGACCATCTGCGTGCATTTCTGTCACAAAAGAAATCGGCATCCTGATCCAGAGCTGCATTTTGACGGCTCTTTGATGCACGTTGAGCCAGAATCAAAATTCTTAGGAGTTTTATTTGACAGAAAGCTCACTTTCCCTCCACATATCTTAAACCTAAAGAAAAAATGTGCTAAAGCTCTCAACATACTGAACGTCCTGGCCAATACTTCATGGGGAGCAGAACGTTGTTCTATGCTCTGCATTTATGGAGCTTTAATCCATTCCAAACTTGGCATGTGTTATCTATGGATCAGCAAGACCTTCTGTGCTACTGAAATTGGATCCAGTCTGCCATCAAGTGTTATAGATTTGCTGTGAAGCTTTCAGAATATCTCCAGTCCAAAGTTTATGTGTCACCTGTTTTGAACCACGTCTGGAATTCAGACACAAGCAGTTGTCCATTTATTTTCATTATAAAGTAATGTCACAAGTCGAACATTTTGTCCGACTCATCACATCTGATCAGTACTGCCATATCTACTAAGCACGTCCTTCATGTATCCTGCATTTTGATCTTTGCATTTACTCACTGATTGAAGAATTCAACCTAAAAGATCTGCATCCCAAAAGCTTTAACTTTTTCAGTATTGCTTTCTAGCAAGAAGTGAATATTCACCTACTTAACATTTTTGGAAAACTTAAGAAAAACAATACCAATGATGTCCAAAATCAACAAATTTTCTTAGAGTATAGAAGCAGTCATTCTAACTATAAACTATTTTATAACTATTTTACTGATGGCTCAAAGAATCATGATCATGTCAGGGTGTGATAAAGAAATCAAGAGTAGTAAACTTCATAAGGCTGCATCTGTCTTTACTGCAGAAACGTTTCCCATTTTGAATTCCTTAATCTTTATCTCTAAACAGAAAAGCAGAAAGTTCATCATCTACTCTGACTCTCTGAGTGCTCTTGAATTAATAAATACAAATACTAGCCACCTTTTGGTCTTAAAAATTTTAAAAGCACACCTCCGTTTGAGAAATGCAGGTTATTCTATTGCGTACTGCTGAGTGCCTGGACATGCTGGCATCAAAGGCAATGAACTCGCCAATGTCGCAGCAAAATCTGCTGCTATTATCTCTGAAAATGATGTCCCTTTTACAGACATATGGAATTACATCAGAACAAAGATCTTGTCCAGGTGGCAAGAATTCTGGGAATGCCAAACTCTAAAGAAATTAAGGCTGGTAAAACCCAATTTGGAGTACTGGGAGTCGAGAGGAAATGGGTAGGAAGATGTACTACTGTACATTGGAAGAAACCCTCACATCAACCTCATAAGATTTTAAAAGATATCTCTTTTTACCATATTTGAAGTTTTTTTTATATATATACTGCTCTACCTGTTGCTAGAGCATTTTCAAAGTCATTTCTCCATGCCTTCATCAGCATTACAGGTTCATTTGAACAATTCATCTCATACAGTGTGTTTGTGCATTTTGGATTTTCTTCACCATTCGTCTGGCGCATAATAACTTTTAAGGTTTTGTGCCATTAAAAGTCAACCAACCTTTTAGCCCCAAAATCTGCATTCTAACAAGTTATTAACAGGTTAAGCCCGGCGCCGAATTTGCTGTCCTTTCCGTTTGGCAGGTTATCATTGAGGCATACTTAAGATTGAAGTTATCCTTTTTTTTTAAATTTTTATCTTTTGTTTAAATGTTTTTATGAGATTGCTTTTATGTTCTGTCTACCTGAATTAAAAAAGGACCATAATAATTTCTGTTAACTTAGTACTACCATATTTCCTAAAAATAAGGCCAGTTCTTATATTAATTTTTGTACTGTTGCATTATCCACCTAACCATGGCAAGAATAACTGGGCAAAGTGCTATTTTGCCAAAGTAGCCAAAGTAGGCAACCCAGAATTTTACAAAAATGTATTTTATCTGGCAACCCACTAAATGCACATGATTTTATAATCTGAGGAATGTTTGTGGTTTTTGCTTGTGATTAGTGCATGTGTGTGTGTGTTGTTCTTTTAATGAACTGTGATGTTGTTGTGGAGTTTGCCTCCTAATGAAAAAAGGAAATGTTGCAGTTTTTCAGAAATACGGCATTTTCGCTAGTAGAGTGCAGAAATGCTCATCCCATCAAGTTGTATTTTACAAACGATCAAATTGTCCGAGTTATCTTGGTGAATTCAATTAGAGGAAATACCTGGAAGGAAAGCAAAAAGACTATTTTGAAGAGATTTTAAAGTAGATAGTTGAACAGTATCCACTGGCTGTTAAAATGTAAATATTGTCGTTTGATTATTATTATTGTTAAAGTAATAAAATCCAGATAAAATAATACATTTGGCTAGCTTTTATTTATCTCTGATATTACATTATTATAGAAATTTTGCAGCTCAAAGAATAGTTTATGAACTGTCTTAAGATGATTGTAATAATAGTTTTCTTTGAATAAGTGTGATTCTCTTATTTTTTTTAAAAGTTAAATCAGGTTGATGTGTATACAGGGAGCAGTGGTAATTTGCTTTGCAATTCTCAGGTTTTTTAATAATTAAAACAGATTGCTGTGCACAGGAACAGAGGACTGAAAAAGTACGAAGTTTATTATGGGTGTTTGATGCATTTTTAATTTAGTTAATGTGTTACTGTTTTATGAAATTTTGAGAGTTGTGTAATGGATGTTTGCATTATGTAATTTTTACTGTTTCATTACGTACGTTTCTTCCATTTTAAATTTCAGTAACTCATGCTATTTTATATAACTTTCAGTTCACCACCATTTTTTAAAATTATTACTGTCTTTCACATGTTAGGTTGGCAAAAATTTAGTTGCCAATGATTGCCAACTTTTCAGGACATTTGTATGCATAATGCCATAGTACTAATGTATGCCCCAAAAGATGCATCAGGGCTTATTTTTCAGACCTTAATGCATCAATAATGTGATGATTATCTGTGTAGGTTTCTTTCGACAGATTCAGAAAATACATGTAAAATTCACTTTAGTAACTAGTAAAGGGAACATAAATTGGCAAGACACTCCTCTGATCATAAGATCCTCATAAAAATTGTGGTTTCACTCACAATAAACATGTTGGCAAATTAGTATTAGAAAAGTTGATAAAGACTTGAATGCAAGTGTACATTTAATAACTTCACTTATCTTCTATTTTAAATACTGTTATTTAATCTTCTTTACGATAGTTCATATTGCTGAAGGAAGCAGTTGAATGTTAATGCTTTGAGTTTTTTTGTGCGTATGGCTAACTTTGATGCCATGCCAGAATATTAGCCCTATGAACAACCAGTCAGTAATCTATTTGCAGATTATATCTTCCACTTCAGGAAACAGTAGCTGACTGCCTCAACCACACTTCCTAGCATTTCTCTCATCTACCTGTTGACTTATAGTACTCTGATTGCAGTTCTCAGAGTTTTCAAAGATCTTACAAATCCTCTTTGCAGAAAGCTGTAAGATTCTTGTCCCAGGAATTCTTTATGATTCCTTTTTTGCACTTGGCAGAATAACTCTTTGCACTCGTCTTATTTGGGGAATCAAAACATGATAACCCATTGATATGTTATTAAATTAAATGTAATTGAAGACTTACAAGAAAGTAGCAAAGAAGATCAAGAAGGATGATCATGCAAAATCTTGTGCTAGTTTTTTATATGCACCTTTCCATCAGAGTTACATACAAATCTAATATAAAGACATTCTCTGGAGTGTAAATTATTTTTAACCATAGACTGTACTTTAGAACAGTAATTAGAAGTATATAAATTAGGTGCATCTATAATCTGAGGTTCCCCCTTCCTCTTTCCCAACAGAGAAGAAGATAGACATGAAGATGCAAAATGGACTTACAGTGAACAGTTTCCAGTGGCTGAAATTAGTTAATTTTTTTCATCCATGAACAAACAAGAACTTAGCTCAAACTGTTTTTTTCATTGAATGAAACATTGAAAATTATTGCAATAAAAAATGATTTCTTTTATGCAGACTTTATATGCTTATATGTAAACTGTACTGGCTTCAAGTACTAATTCTGTACAAGATACAACTAAATAGTATAAAAACAATATGCAAGTAAATTTTGTAAATCTGTATAAAACTAAATTATCAAAATGGCAATTAAAATATAACAGTAAAAAGGCAAGGCTATATTATGAGCTCAATAATAATTATTGGAGATGGTAAAGCAACAAGAGTATAATATTGTTAAATTTGCAAGACTAGTTCGAAGGTTCTGTATTGAAACCTTCAAAACTAATCCAGCAAATTTCTGAATATTGCACTGATTCTTGTTGCCTTATCATCTTCAATAATCGCTATTTCATTCATCATCATTAATCATTATTAAAACTAATCCTGAAAATTTATGAATATTACACTGATTCTTGTTGCCTTACCATCTTCAATAATCGTTATTTTAACTCAGAATCTGTAATAATGTTTAATAAGTAGAAAGATAGTGAATATAAAAAAAAACAAAGCAATGTAGGTTCTAGAAGTACAATCCATTTGATGACTTGACAAGAAAAGTATTCTTTTAGTTTATGGTAAATTCGTGAACTTTTTTTTTAATGAAGAAAGAGAATTATGTGGCTAAGGTTATAAAAGTTTTTGGATGTATAGTTTTTAGTAATATAATGCAGAATAACTGCAAAATATTCATATTTTTTTGCTATGGGTGTCGAATTGTAAACTTCTTGTATTATCAAATGTTTTCATTGCCAAAGGTTATATAATAAAATGTTTCATGAAATCATTATAATTGTTGAATTCAGTGCATACTAATGTGCTCTAGTGGAAAAGCTTTTCATCTGATATGTCATATATACTTTTTCAAAAGAACTATAGTAACTCTCCCCTAACATTGTATTTTCATAAGAAAAGTACATTTTATGGCTATGGTTTAATGTTTTAAATGGTTACATTCTTGAAGTATCCGAATTTCCTTGCAGAAGTGGCAATGGAAAGCATAAATCAGACATATTGAATTATTTATTTAAATTATCTGATATGTGAAATATATTTTAAGAAACTGAAATGGTTTGAAGTGGGGTAATGGATGTATACTCTTTATCTTAATCAAAATGTTATTAAGAGCATTAGCAGGTATTAATATGCTTTTTTATGTTTAATTATGAATTCATAGATACCAATTCAAATTCAGAAATAATTGCTGCACTTGTACAGGGCTGCCAACGCTTGACTTTTCATCTTGTCTTACAGCAAATTGCCGAATCTCTTGATTTTTAATTTATCTGAAATTTGAATATCTCTTTCAAATGCAGCTTTAGAAGAATTATTGATCATTAGTATTGAAGCAATAGGAAATGCTATGAAGAAAATTTAAATAACAAGTTAATATTGTCAGCTTATGATCTGTTATTGACACTTATCTTACTCTGAAAGGTTTTGCTATTTGTCGATACAAGCTTAAGATTAATTTTTACAGGCACCTGTCTTGTTCCTAGTTAAAAAGTTACATTCATAGATGCTTTACTTGCATAGAAATGCAGCTGATGGCATGGTAGTCAGTGTTACTGAATCATATGCATTATACAGTCAAAAGTCGTTAATTCGGACACCCATAATTCGGAATGATCTATAATCCGGACATCAAAACTAAAAACTTTCTGCGCATGCGCCGCGTTGACACATGCGCAGAGGCGTTCACGCGTGCGCGTAAGACCTTTTACAACTGCGCATATGAGTGTGCGCAAGTGCAGAATACGTTTTCGCGCGCGCATTTTATGTATAATGGACGTATAAGCTAAATAATTATCTATTTCAGTTAATGTTGATGATTGCGTTGTTCCTTAATTTTCGAATTGCATCCGGCTTATTATTTTTTGCAGACTGTAAGAGCAATTTTATAAAAGTAAGCTTAAACTTTCGATTATATCAAATAGAATTTCCGATATATATTTGTTAATATGTAAAGCATCTAAAGCGAAAGTATGTTTTGAAATCCGAAATCTGTTTATCAATTTCACGCTGCTCGGCGGCGGGCGCGTAATGAATTAGAAGTTGATTTGTCAGCACTATCCTTATCTTCAGCGCAGATGTTTTTATTTTATTTGGCTTATAATTCCTTACCAAATGTAGTATTTCATCTCGATATGCTTCGTCTTTGATATGATTTAAAACAAGTTCCTCGTCATTATAATTCGCTTCCGATAGCGAAGAAAAGTGACAGAGGTTATTGAAAACAAAAAAATTTCGATTGACAAATTAGTCGGTGTTCTTGACACAGCAATTATAGGACTTGAACGGCGGAACTTTGTAACTGAACAAGAAATTATGTCTGTTTAATAGAATTAAAGAGAAAGTATCATCACATGAAACGAAGCAAAACTTAAACAACTTACATTGAAAGAAATGTTTAATAAAGTAAACAAATAAATATTAAGCTTTTCCTTTTTGCAAATTTTGATACCCTTTAGATCATAATTGTTCTTTATTTCATAAATTACGGTTTCATATTTTTAATTTTAGAATTTCTGCATGCCATCTTACGAGATTTAAACTGATGATCTATAATCCGGAAAAATCGATAATCCGGAATCGCCGAAGTCCCGACGAGTCCGGATTAACGACTTTTGACTGTATTTTAATATAATGCATATGATTCAGAACTAACCTTTTTCTGTTTTGAGAATTATTTTATTATTATATATATGTACAGTAGAAACAGAAAAATGACAATTTCGTCCATGATTCTGGATATAAAATTCTGTGTTGCTGTTTAGGAATATCATGCGTTCAGTCAAGAATCAGGTAGTACATCTAAATGAATCAGTTGACTGTTCATTACTCATGCAGAGTTGCCAACTCTCCCGATTTAGGCGGGAGACTCCCGATTTTCGACCGCTCTCCCGCCAACCCGATTTACAATATATTTCTCCCGACTTTTTCTTATTCTTAATATTTCTCACGATTTTTATGGAACTTGGCTTAATACTTCGTTTTATGAACAAAAAAAAAAAAAGTGATTTTGGACGTCTGAAAGCAACTGAATTTTCTCTAGATTATATCTAAAATGAAACCTTGCGAATCAGGATGAGAATTTCTGCTTTGTGAGTGACAGCATACGTATCCAGAAACGTCGTTCTCCAGTTGTCCAATGGGCATCGAGCTCCACTGCGTGTCATCTGGCATATATTAGCCAATGAGCACAAAGCAAGCTCAAGGCCATTGCAAAGAAAATTCTTTGGCCGTTGGGCCGTTATTTCGATGTTCTTTCGTTATTTCGTTCATCTTGTCCTGAGTTGTGTGAGTACACGTGAC